AGTAATGTTTAAGATATGCGTGATTCAGGGAATTGGAGTGCCTTCAGAGGCCGAGAACTCTGAGGTCACGCACCTCCATTTGGATCTCTCACATGGGATGGAAGAACCCCATACCCTGCCTTGCAGGATCCAAGGTCATCGGAACGACAACCAGGAGCACTGAGTGGTCTGCAGAAACAGAACGGTAAACTTCCTTTGGAACTAGGGAGAGGAGCTTTCTCTGGTCCTTGCCTGGTTCCGACTTTGGGTCCCCACCCTCTCTCGTAATGACCATCAGGATTGCTCCAGAAACCCCTCAAAACAAACTAACAAACAAAGAAATAAACAAACAAACAAAAAACTAGAATAGATAGAGAACAGCAAGGAAAGCTTAGAAACAGACTGGAAATGGGCAGTGGGGATGCACTCACTGGGTGGGACACAAAGATTAGTTACTCCTTACTAGGGTATTGAAGATTTCTCTGCGCACCCCTCCTAAAACTGTTCAACCTAAACTGTTGACATATGTCTTGTTAGAGTTATAGAGTAAGACTACCTGAAAAACAGCCAGGTTCTGCAAAATCATGCTTCAACGCTATAAACTGCTAAATACTAAAATTAAAATAGACATGAGCCAGCTGAATAGTAATCTATAGCCATTTTAAGGTGTATAGAACCCAGCTGTATATAAACTAATAGTTGAAATGTCAATGTAGAAGTCATAGGATGGGGTTCAGAACTTGCACTCTTTTTTCTCTCTTTTAACATATTGGTTATTCAATACCATGTCAATTAATTCCATTATGTTATAAATTGTTACTGATGTAATGTCGGGGCTTTTAATTGATTGGGTGATACTCTGTCGGCTCTACCTTCAGACCAGAGATGGTCTCCCCAAGAAACCGTTGAACTTATCTGGACAATAAGATGCTGGACTTTGTGCTTTGTAGATGCTTGCAATGAAAGAATCTCAACTGAATTTGAACTGTGGTAATGCAGCAAGGTGGAGGAATCCACCATGGGGGGGGCGCGGGTTTTAGGGAGGGGAGGGGAGAATCCCAGTGCCTATAAAACTGTGTCACATAATGCAATGTAATCAATTAAAAAAAAAAGATATGCGTGATAACCTAGTGGTTAAAGCCCTCGCCTTGAATTCACCAGGATCCCATATGGGCGCCAGTTCTAATCCCACTGGCCCTGCTTCTCATCCAGCTTCATGCCTGTGGCCTGGGAAAGCAGTTGAGGAAGGCTGAAAGTTTGAGACATTGCACCCACATGGGAGATCTGGAAGAAGCTCCTGGCTCCTGGCTTTGGATTGGCTCAGCTCCAGCCGTTGTGGCTGCTTGGGGAGTGAACCATCAGACAGAAGATCTTCTTTGTCTCTCCTCCTCTCTGTATGTCTGCCTTTGCAAGAAAAATAAATGAATCTTTATAAAAAAACCCCAAAACAAACCCTCAGTTAAAGGTGAGTCTAAAATTAAAAAAAAAAAAAAGTGCTCAATGCCCATTCCCCTGGGAATGAGGCAAAATTGATACCCTGTATGTAGGTATCAGTGTGTTTTCGTTATATAATTCTGATTCTCATACAAATGAGTCTGTAGAATTATAATCACTTAGAAGGAGTCCTTTTTGCCTTTCTCAAGTACAGCTCCCACAGGTGCAGTTGGGTTGTCCTTCTGGGTTGTTTTAAGGGCACTTTAGCAGTTTTAAAAACTTAAGTGCTAATTTCATCGGCAGTGTCAGCTGAATTTATTAAAGTAGGTCAGTCTCTGGACAGAAACTTGTTTCCCAGCCCTAAAGAGAGTCATTATCCATTCTTCTATTTGTTAGAGAATGGTAATAAATTCTTCCACGTTGACCACAGGTCTGGAATAATTTCAGAAAATCTGGTTAGTTGGATTTTTTTTTCAGGTATACAAAATTACTTAAATCTGGTTAGTTGTATTTTTTTTCAGGTATACAAAATTACTTAAGAGTTGCTCTGACTGTTATTATCCCAGTGGACCAGAAACAAACAAAAACAAAGCAGCAAAAAACAAGTGCTTTCTCCTTTCAAAAGAAGTCATATTCAATGGTTATAGAGAACCCCAGTCCAGCCCTCTCTAACATACATGCAAAGGCTCTAAAAAAGGTTTTTGCGTTATTGGAAAGGTAAATTTACATAGAGAAGGAGAGATAGTAAGATCTTCGAGTCCCTGGTTCGCTCCCCAAATGACCACAGAAACTCGAGCTGAGTTGATCTTAAGCTGTAACTCAAGAGCCTGGTGTTTCTTTCAGGACTTCCTTGTGGGTGTAGGGTCTCAGGATTTTGGGCCATCTTGCTTTCCCAAGCCGTAAGCAGAGAGGTGGATGGGAAGTGAGCAGCTAGGACACAAATTGGCACCCATATAGGATCCTGGTGATTGGAGGTGGAGGATTATCCAATGCACTAGTCTAGTTAATTGTTTTAAAAGAAAGTTTATTGTAGGTTATTCTGTCCCTTTAGTTAATAAGCAGATTTTTAATATATGGCATGCTTAACAATATGGTTCCTCTGAACTCTTGAAGATGAATTTGTCAATAAGAAGTAAAATTCTTACTTGAGTGACAATTAAGAAACAGTGTAGTCATATAACAAAGTATATGATGCTGAAAGTTTAAGTGTGTTAAAAAGTTGGTAGCTGTGCGAATGTTTTTAATTTCTAAGGGAGGATTTGTGGAGGGCTGAGTTTGAAGTTATTGTTGAAGCTTGGATGTGGGTTTTGAGTTGGTAGAAGAGGTGTGTGGAATAGTGAGTTAGGTTAGCTTTATTCACTCACTTTCATTTGAAAGGCAAGGTGAGAGAGAGAGAGGGAGAAACATGGGAAACCTCTGTTCTGTCCTCTGGCTCATTTCCCAGATGCCTGAAGAAGCTGGAGCTGGGATAAACCAAAGCCAGGGGCCGAAACTCCATCCGAATTTCTCATGTGAGTGTCAGGGATGTTAGTGCACTGGCCGTCATCTGCTGCTTCCCAGATGCCCTAGCAAGAAGCTGGATTGGAAAGACAGAGTGGCTGGGATTCCCAGGCACTACAGGAGGGGGTCGGGACTTCCAGGCAGCTCACTTTGCTCAATACAGGGCTTAGAATTTCATTCATTCATTCATTCATTCATTCATTCATTTATTTATTTATTTATTTATTTATTTATTTATCCATATAATCTATCTGTTTATTTATCCATTGATTCATTCATTTACTCATTCATTTATTTAGATTTGTTTATTTTTAATTGGAAAGACAGATTTACCAAAAGAAGTAGAGAAGAGAGAGAAAGCTCTCCCATTTGCTGATTTGCTCCCTAAAGGGCCGCAGTGGCCGGAGATATTCTGATCCAAAGCCAGGAGCCAGGAACCTATTCTGGGCCTATGTATGGGTGCAGTTCCCAAGGCTACGGGACATCCAGGTCTGCTTTTCCAAGCCACAGGCAGGGAGCTGGATGGGAAGTGGAGCAACCGGGGCATGGACTGGTACCCATATGGGATCCTAGTGCTTGGAGGTGGAGGATTAGCTAATTGAGCCATTTTGCAGAGTCCTGGAGCTTAGAATTTTAAAGTGCCAAATGATAATTGAAAGGTTTTTTGTTTTCCTGAATCGGTATGTAGTCATTGTGTTAAAGCAGCTTTATCAGAATTGGTCTGCCAGTGCAATGTCAAGTGGAAAATCAGACTGACAAACTCAGGTGTTTTGAACTGTAAGTCTTTGCTGTCACACTGATTCTGTCAATATTTTGCTATATCAATGAAAATATGTCCCTTTTAATTGAATATCTACTAGATTATATCATTTTTTAAAGATTTTTTTTTTGCTTTTATTTGAAAGGCAGTTATAGAGCGATAGAAAAATAGAATAAGAATTCTATACACTAATTCACTCCCTAAGTAGCTGCAAGAGCTGGAACTGAGCTGTTCCAAAGCCAGGAGCCAGGAGCTTTTTCCAGGTTCCTTGTGGATGCAGGGGACCAAAACCTTGGGCCATCCACCAATGGGTTCGCAGGCCATTAGTAGTGAGTTGTGTTGCAAATGGAGCAGCCAGGATTGGAGCTGGTGCCCATAGAGGATGCTGGCACCACAGGAAGAGGATTAGCCAGGTTATGCCACGGTGCCTGATTTTTTTTAAAGGTCAATTTTCTGCATATAGCAAGGATACATTCTTTTCTTTTTTGAAGATTTATTTATTCTTATTGTGAAGTCAGATAGATATACAGAGCGGAAGAGAGACAGAGAGGAAGATCTTTCTCCGTCTAATGATTCACTCCCCAAGCTACCGCAACGGCTGGAGCTGAGCCAGTCTGAAGCCAGGAGCCAGGAGCCTCTTCCGGGTCTCCCACGTGGGTGCAGGGTCCCAAGGCTTTGGGCCATCCTCAACTGCTTTCCCAGGCCACATCAGGGAGCTGGATGGGAAGCGGGGCTGCCAGGATTAGAAGTGGTGCCCATGTGGGATCCTGGTAGATACAAGGCGAGGCATTTAGCCACTAGGCTACTGTGCTGGGCCTGCCTGATTTGTTTTTATAATGTATAATCCATGTTTATTTCTGCACTTAACCTTGATTTCCTCATGTAGCAGCTCATTGTAAAATGCAGTTATTTGTTATCACAGTGCCTATTGGATAGTGTGATTAACAGTCTTTTCATGAAATAAAAAGAAGGCTGGATAAGTAAGGTTTACCAATGTCTTCTGTTTAATAAATGCTTGCTGTGTGCCAGGCACCATGCTGAGTGTTTTATATCCATTCTATCCATTCTCTCCATGCTTGTGGTCCTCTAGGTAAGGTGCATAGATCCAATTTGAGTGTGTTTACACGTAGGGTATGTGCGTCATTTGACTGATGTGAAAGTCACTGAGTGTGCTAACAGCTTAGCTCTCTGGCTTTTGGGTAAGCATCTTGATTTTTTTCCCAGCTAACAGTATCTCTACAATAATATTGAAAATGCTCATTAGGAAATAAACTCACTGAGATGCTGAAGTGCAGTGTTGTTTTGCTCTTGTTGCCTCTCGTCTTAGGTGCTGGAAAGCCCCCAATGTTTGGTGATTATGAAGCTCAGAGACACTGGCAAGAAATTACTTTTAATTTGCCGATCAAACAATGGTATGGATCATTTTGTTGTTATTATAGTCAGTTCATAAAGTTTATTTAAAGATACATGAAAGGAAAACAGAGAGTGTCCTCATATAAACCTACTTACGCTACTCAACGTGTTATCGTGCTTGTTACCTTTGAGATTCATGGTCCTTGTAGTTACTGTGTGTGTGTGTTCACTTAGCTGGGATCTAGTCAGCTGCTACTGATTAGCTGAGACACAACACTGACTTAGAAATGCCTCTGCAAGCAAGCTGTCAGTGTACCGTCCTGCTTATGGTCGGGTCACCCACTGTTTGGCCCACTGAAGATTGCCATGGTTTTCACTGTAGATCAGAGTGCAATAGGCTACATTTGTGGGGGTGAGCAGGGACAAGGTGGGGAAGCCTACAGTCCTAAGACTTGTTTTCCACTCTCAGAAATTCACATAGGTCCCCATAGTTCATCCTTGAGGACCCCATGTCTAGAATAGGGCATAGTATACTGTAGACACCTCGTCAGTATTTACTGATGGAATATTTATATGTTCTTTTCCACGTGATCTTGTTCTTATATCGGGAAAGCAGCTGTACCTTTCATGCATTTCATATAACAGTATCTTTGGACCTTCTGTTTTTTTGATGGAAATGTTTATTAATGATCAGTATTCTCAATCACTCAGAGAACTGGCAATTCACGTTAATTTTATATACAAGTTTACCTGGTGCTTTTACAACCTTTCACTACTAAGAATGTGTGCGATGCAAAAAAGTGATGACCCAGTGGTGAACAGTGGGCCACGGTCACACACTACCTGGGGACAGAGCGCAGCTCTGCCGTGAGCTTGCGGGCTGACCTTCAGCAAATTAGTTAACTTTCTCTACCACTGTTTTGTCATGGTATACGAAAACAGTAGACTGCATATTTTAGAGGGATGTCATGAGGTTGAATTCTGTGATTTTTGTACAACACCTAGAGCAGTGTTTGCAAGTGGTCAGCTGCCAGTAAATATTGGCTCAGGTTGTAATTTCATAGAGATTTGTGCTGCTGTCACTTTATCAAATATATTCTATTATCAAAGATAATCGTTGATGACATTGACTCACTGGAGAGCTGATTATTCTCTCAGAAACTGGATAAATAAACTCTTCATATTAATCTGTTGTTTGCCTGGGTCACTGCTTTCATATAATTCCCAATTAGTACCATATAACAACTTAACATTGGATTTTTAAAACTTGTTTATTTTTATTGGAAAGTCAGATTTACAGAGAGAAGGAGAGACAGAAAAGATCTTCTATCTGCTAATTCATTCCCCAAATTGCCACGACAGCTGGAACTGAGCGGATTTGAAGCCAGGAGCTAGGGGCTTCTTCCGGGTCTTCCACATGAGTGCAGGGTCCCCAGTCTTAGGAACATCTTCTACTCCTTTCCTGTGCTACAAACAGGGAGCTGGATGGGAAGCAGGACTACCAGGACATGAATCAACACCCATATGGTATCCCGATGGTTGCAGTGCGAGGATTTTAGTTATTAGGCTTTTGCACTGGACCCAGCATTGGATTTTAAAAAATTGATTATTTATTTGAAGGGCAGAGTTAGAGAAAGTGAGAGACAGACTGAGAGAGAAAGAGAGATAGAGTGACATCTTCCAGTTGCAGTAGGCAGAGCTGGGCCAGGTGGAAGCCTGGAGCCAGGAGCTTCTTCTGGGTTGCCCTCAAGGTACAGAAGCCCAAGCACTTGGACTTTCTTTTACTGCTTTCCCAAGCATATTAGCAGGGAACTGGATCAAGAAGGGAACATTCAGGACACCAGCTGGCACCCACGTGGAGTAACTGGCAGCATAGGTGGTGGCTTTACTCAATACACCACAGTGCTAGACCCTGAGTTTCCTAAGAGTAAGTTGGTTGTACACTGGTTCGGAATATTTCAAATAGAATTCAGTTCAGGGTTTGGCATTATTATTAGTTAACTGATTTTGAGCATTCCTCAGCATTCCAGACATTGGTTTAATTAATTTATATCACTGTTTGGATTATTCATAGATCCTTAATATTTTTTCTTTTCTAAATTTTTAAAATAGATTATTTATTTTAAAGGCAGAATTACACAGAGAGAGGAGACAGAAATGTTCATTATCCTTTGCCTCACTCTACAAGTGGTCGGGGTGACTGTGGCTTGTCTAGGTCAAGTCCTGCGTCAATGGGGAGTGAAACATACAGCAGGTGGAAGGTTTCTCTTTATCTCTCCCAGCTACTCTACTTCTGATCCAGCAGCCTCCCAATGACCTGGCAAAGCAGTGAAAGTGGTAGATTCTTGGACTCCTGCATCCATTTGGGAGCTCTGTAAGAAGCTCTGGGCTCCTACCAGCCTAGGCTCAGTCCCGGCAGTTGAGGCCATTTCGGGAGTGAACCAGCAGATGGAAGATCTGTCCTTGTGTCTCTCCTCTCCCTCTCTCTCACAGTCTGCTTTTCAAATAAATACATACATCTTTAAAAAAAGACGTATAATGGAAATGAATAAAATAGAATGGAAATTAAGAACACACACACAAATCTATAAATCCTGCAGTCTTACTTGAAGCCTACCTGTTTCATAAAGTTCTCTTCCTATAAAACATCTTTTTTTTTTTGTTTTTTTTTTAAACAATATGTTCTTTGACATTAATTTTTTGTTTGTTAAATTTGTGACTTAGAAAAAATACTGATTCTCCGGTTTATTAGATAATCGAGTACAATTTTATGTTTTTCTTTCTTTTTTCTTTTTATTTTTTTAAGATTTATTTTTATTATTTTTTTATTGGAAAGGCAGATATACAGAGAGGAGAGACAGAGAGGAAGATCTTCCGTCCGATGATTCACTCCCCAACTGAGCGCAACAGCCGATGCTATGCCAATCCGAAGCCAGGAGACTCTTCCGGGTCTCCCGTGTGGGTGCAGGGTCCCAAAGCTTTGGGCTGTCCTTGACTGCTTTTTCGGGCCACAGGCAGGGAGCTGGAAGGGAAGCGGGGCTGCTGGGATTAGAACCGGCGCCCATGTGGGATCCCGGTTGTGCAAGGCGAGGACCTTAACCACTTGCCGGGCCCCTTTCTTATTTCTTATGTAGTAATCATTGGTAAAATCAGGTGACAGTAAGTCCCAATTTGCCTGGGATAGTTCTGATTGTTGTCATTGTTTATCTGTAGCTTCATAATTTAGTAGTTAAGCTTAGATTTAATGGAATGGAGATGAAATATTATGTTATACATGTAATTCTTGAATGTTAATTAATGGAATGGTGGTTTCTTCTTTTTTTTTCAGGTATTTTAACAGCAGTGATAACAATTTACAGTATTGGGGATTGGATTACCCCCCTCTTACTGCCTATCATAGTCTCCTATGTGCATATGTGTAAGTTTTCCTTCCTTAATCTAACTGAATGTTTATGCCTTTAGCAGGTGTAGTAAGAAGCAACGTGACCTTTGTTGAATGGAGGAGCGTTTCTGAATGCTGCTAATGTAGCACATGTATGGGTTATGTAGTGCAGTTGGTTGTAAGAAAGGGTACCAGCAGAACCGTAAGGTTTTTTTTAATTTATTTCTTTGGAAGATAAGCCTAAAAGAAACACGCAAACCCAGGTTTCTTTCTCAGTAGAGATGTTAACAATATGTGTGGACTGCTGACAAATGTACCTCACATGGCTTAGTTGTGCATGGGAAGTCTTTCCTTGAGGGCCCAGGGCAAATGAAAATTACAAGCTCAACTGGTATTCTGACTAAATCTGTCAGCTTAGGACCTGGAATACTGTAGGGTTTCATTTGAGGTTTATGATTGGGACTCGTATCCTGCTTCCTTTTGAGGAAATGGAGTGGTTTAGGGAAGACAAGGAGCCTTGGTTTGCTAGAGATCCAGTTCTACTCTGCACGTAGTATTCAAACTCACACTGCCACTGCAGTGTCAGCAGAAATTTCACTTTTATTTGAAAGGCAGATAGACACACGGAGAAGAGACAGACAGATCTTCCATCCTCTGGTGTAACACTCAAATGCCAACCACATTTGTCCTGAGCTGGACAAGGCTAGAACCAGGATCTAGGAACTCTGTCTAGGTCTGTATGGGTGGCAAGGATCCAGGTACTTGAACTCCTCCCTGATGTGTTTGGGGTAGCATTAGACCATATTGGAAGTGGAGGAGCCAGGTTGCAAACCAGGCAGTCTGATATGGAATATGAGAGTCCTAAGCCACTTATTATCTACTGTGCCAACAACTTGGAGGCATTTTTTCACAGGATTTCCTGTATGCATTTTTCTTGTTTTTATTGTTTCAACTCTTAACTATTTTATACTTTGTAAAAACAAAAACTTTATGAATTAAAGTAAGCTCCCAGTTGTCAAAATAATCAATTATATTTTGCAGTTTACTGGGTAATATAAATAGGGCTGAAATGTTTATTTGACAGATGTTTAAGGGTGATGTGTAGTATGTAGAGTGAGTGTATAAAGACACTGGTTCTCATGCCTCATGCTGTATCAGAGTGCTTGGGTTCAAGTCCTGGCTTTGCTCCTGAGTCTATCTTCCTGTTCATGTGTACTCTGGCAGGCAGGCAGTGATGACTGTTGTTGGGTCTTTGACACCCATATAGGAAACCAGGGTTGAGTTTCAGGCTTGTGGCTTTAGCCTGGCCCAGCCTCAGCTGTTTGGGAAGTGAATCAGTCGATGTGAGATGTGTGTGTCTCTCTTTCAGATAATTAAAGGAAACATGTTAAACACTGCAATGACTTTATGTAAATATTTGTAATTAAACATTATCTTTTTATTTGAAAGAGTGAGAGAGGTTACCCATCATCTGTTTCACTCCCCAGCTGCCAGGGCTGGGCAGGGTTGAAGAGGAGAGCTGGGAACTCAGTGCTGTCTTTTACAGGTATGGCAGGGACTGGGGCATGCAATAGCAGGAATCAAGAACCAGGAACTTCCCCAGGGACTCAGATGGCAAGGATACAGAGTCCGTAACAACATCTTTTTTTTTTTTTTTTTTTTTTTTTAAAGATTTATTTTTATTATTTTTTAATTGGAAAGGCGGATATACAGAGAGGAGAGACAGAGAGGAAGATCTTCCGTCCGATGATTCACTCCCCAAGTGAGCGCAACGGGTCGATACTATGCCGATCCGAAGCCAGGAGCCTAATCCGGGTCTCCCACGCGGGTGCAGGGTCCCAAAGCTTTGGGCCGTCCTCTGTTGCTTTCCCAGGCCACAGGCAGGGAGCTGGAAGGGAAGCGGGGCTGCCGGGATTAGAACCGGCGCCCATATGGGATCCCGGGCGTGCTAGGCGAGGACCTTAACCACTTGCGCCACCGCGCCGGGCCCGTAACAACATCTTAATGCTGCGTCAAACAGCTGCCCTGGGATTTATGATTAATAGCTGTATATGGTGGCCAATGTAATGAAAGCCAAAAGGTTATATAGGAAGGACATGATTCTTTTATCAATACTAGCATATTGTACTTTGCAAGGTATATGTTTAATAAATGAAATGTGACAAATTACATTGGAGCTGTGGAGCTGGGGCTTGTAGTTACATGGTTTTGTTACAAGATGAGCAAAGCAGATGCAGTTTCACAACTTTAATCATTTGCATGGTGTTAACTAAAAAGAATAAAGCTCAAACGTTGAGTCTGTTGTCCTATAAGAGTGATAATTTTGGAAAATAAACTGCTGTGTCCTTATATTCCAAAAATAATGAGGAATAAAGTGCAGATGTATCTGCTTTGATTTGCAGAGCAGAGTTCATCAATCCAGACTGGGTTGCACTCCATAAATCACGTGGATATGAGAGTCCAGCACATAAGCTGTTTATGCGTGCAACAGGTAAGAGCTGTAGGTAGTGAGTGTACAATTTCAGTTGTTAAGAATTCTATACAAACCGGTAAAAAACTTTATTGCTTTTCTTTAAAAAATTTTTTTGAATTATGTTTTATGGTACAATTTCATAGACTGAAATTTCCCTTACCCCTTCCCCAAATTCCTTCCTCTCCACTGATTTTCCCGTGTTATTACAACAGTATAGTCCTTCATTAGCAGCCAGAAGTCCATCATTCTGCTAATTAAGTGTATTGTGACATTGTGGATATGGACAATGGCAGAGTCCAGCTTCGTATTGATGAGCTATACATATATATATATATGAAAATATATATATAAACTTATTTATTTTTATTGGAAAGGCTGATATACAGAGAGGAGAAGAGACAGAGAGGAAGATCTTCCATCCAATAGTTCACTCCTCAAGCTGCTGCAACAGCTGGAGCTGAGCCAATCCGAAGCCAGGAGCCAGGAGCTTCTTCCAGGTCTCCCATGCGGGTGCAGGGTCCTAAGGCTTTGGGCCGTCCTCGACTGCTTTCCCAGGCCACGCGCATGAAACTGCGTGGGAAGCATGGCTGCCGAGATTAGAACCGGCGCCCATATGGGATCCAGGCACATGCAAGGCAAAGACTTTAACCACTATGCTATTGCACTGGACCCTTTCAAGTTATATTTAACAGTTTCATTCAGAGTCCATCTTTGATCTGAAAGTAGAGATGTGTACTGCATTGTACCCTCACATCTGGATATGATAATCTCCATTACACAGTTACTGTATATATCCCCTTAATTGAAAAGTCATAAAACAAAATCAACAACAGGAAGAACGTTAAAGAACTTTACAACACCGAGGAGTTAAATAACGTGCCACTGAATGTCCAGAGTGTCGACGAAGAGATGAAAAAGAAAACAAAAACCTTGGAAAGAATGAGCTACTGTGTGATCTGTGAGTCAGGGAAGAATTAATAAAAGAAACTATTCTGAGGAAATGAAAATAAAAACAAAAATACCAAAACCTATGAGCTGTGGCAAAAACAGTATTTTTTAATATTTATTTTAAAATTTTACTTCTTTTTATTATTATTATCATTTTATGATATAGTTCCTTAGGCTCTGGGATTTCCCTTACCCCTCCCCAATCCCATCCCCTCTCACTGAGTTTCCCTGTATTACTATAGTATAGTTCTTCATAAACTGTCGTACGTCCATCATTGCAGGCATGGACAATGGCAGAGTCCAACATCCTATTATCAAGATATAGTAAACAGTTTCATTGGGAGTCCATCTTTGTTTTGCAAGTAGAAATACATACTGCATTTTATCTTCACATCTGGATATGATAGTCTCTAATACACAGTTACTATACATCCCCTTAAATGAAAAGCCACAAAACAAAATCAGTAACAGGAAGAAAAAAGAAACTAACAACACCATGAAGTTAAATAACATGCTACTGAATGACTAGTGTGTTGCTGAAGAAAAGAAAAAGAAAATCAAACCTTCTTGAAGAAAATGATGCTACTGTGTGATCTATGAGTCACTGAAGAATTTAATGAGAAAGTGATTTGAAGAGATAAAACTAAAAAAAAAAAAAAGAAAGAAAATCCATGAGATATAGTTTCCACTGATCTTTGTTGGAGAGATATATCTCCTGTAGGCAACAGATAGATGGGTTTTGTTTTTTAATCTAGTCTACTAATCTGTGATGTTTGATGTCACTCAATTCTCTTCTGGCTTGTAGAGTTTGCTGTGAGAGATCAACTGTGACTTTAATTGCCATTCTACTATATGTCAATTGATTTTTTTCACAAGCGCATTTAAGGATGTTTTCCTTATGTTCAGAGCATGATGATCATGTGTCGTGGTGAAGATTGCTTTTGGTCAACTTTGTTGGGAGTTCTGTACCCCTCCTGGATGTTGTTTCCCAGTTCTTTCTCCCGATTAGGGAAATTTTCTTTTATTATTTCTTTAAATACATTTTGAAATCCAGCTTCTCTTTCTGCACCTTCAGTAACTCTTGTAACTCTTACTCTTGGCCTTTTAATAGTGTCTCTTAATTCTTGAATACTTGTTTTACCTTGAACCAACTTCCAGCTTTTTGATTGTTTCTTCATTGTGACAAGAAATATCTTCCAGTTCTGAGACTTTCTTCTGCCTCCTTCAATCTATTACTGAAAATTTCCACTGAATTTTCAGTAATAGATTGTCTTGGGTCCTATATTTCCGACAATTCGGCTTGATTTTGTTTCAGTGTTGCTATTTCCTTTTTGACATTCCTTAAATCCCATGAACTCCTGAATTATCTGCGTCTTGTTTTTGGTAAGAAGCTTTATAACAAGTGTTTTGAATTCTGTATCCTCCATTTTCTTAATGTATTCCTCAGTTAACTATGAGGTTGGCAAAGGCTTATGCTCCTCTGCAGGGCAGTCTTCAGTAATATTCATTGTGCCTCTTTCTTCTTTTGCTCTTGGTTATTTTACTTCTGGTTAGAAGATTCTTCTTAGGGCAGGTCTCTAAGCTGTATCACCCACAGGTCTGTAGTTCAATGTTACTTACTGTGGTTGGTACATGGCTCTTTATTTGCAGTCACTTGTCCCACTTCCTTTAGCGAATTTCAGATCTGGGCTTTTATGTTACGCTTCCATGATGGTCTCCGTAGCCCCAGCTCCTGGCTTAGCACTCTGCCTCCTGTGATCCCATGCAGTTGTTGCACTGTTGTCTGTACAACATTTCTCACAGTCCTGGTTTGCGCAGTTCCCAGGATTAGGGAGACACCAAGTGTCCTAAATAGCTAGGTTGTTGTTGGCGCTGATCTTGCTGGAACCTGCTGGCCATCAGCTCTGAGGGCCACACAGACCTATTTTGAGTCATAAGATGCCAAAGTTGGTATTATTTTCTCTGTGGGACTAGTACACTGCACTGAGCTCAGTGAGTTTGCTCCTAACTCAGTGCATGGGCAGCTCACTATTGTCCCTGCAGTCTCCAAGCATTTGCTATACTATACCAAATGGCACCTGATGTGCCACTTCTGGAATTCTGGATATGCTGGCCGTCTGGGGGCTCCTTTGACCTGTTTTGTGTAGAACCTGTAGGATGCCACATCGTTGCAATTCACTGAGCCCAAAATGAATTTGCTCCCAGCTTAGGGCATGCACAATCTTGTCCCATAGCCTTTGCCTCTCTATACAAGATGGCGCCCTGTTCGGCTCTACTGGAGGTTTGGGTTGTGAATTCCACCCTGTTCCCTCATACCCGTTTCCCTGTTTGGGACCTGCTGCTCTGGCTCTGCTCCTGTTCTAATCAAACAAACCTGCAGGACGGGCAGTTGTTTGGGCTCACCTCATGAATTCCCGGGGAACTCTCCTTCCCATTTGGTTCTTGGGGGGGTTCTGGCCACCATTGCAGTTCAGATTGCCACTGGCTGAATGCTGCTGGGATGTCTGGCCACTGCAGCACCAGCCCGTTCAGCTGCTTTCTTGTGTCCATCAGTCTCCAGGTGTCCCTCTGCCGTCTGCCTGTCCTTTCCTGTTTCCTGGAATGTGCTCTCTCTGCTTCACCCTAGCTAATGTTTTTTAGTATATTTAAACGTGTCCTCACCCTATTCTGCCATCTTGATTCTCCAAAGTTTTATTTTTCGGTGTCCTCCTCTCCTGGGCCTCCAAGTTCTTTATATACATTCATTAGCAAATATTTATATGTTGTTTGTAATTATTAAAATTATAAAAAATTTATGCATTTCTACATTCTAGTTCCTATTCTTTCTTCCAGAAAATTTGGACTGTACAGTTGAAGAAAAAGGTGTTTCTCTCTCTTTCTTTTTGAGTATTTCTGATTTTTAAGCTTGAATTAGAGCAAGGAGAAAAAGTTGGGTGCATGTCATTTTCGAAGTGTGTGACTTTGTTTGATGAAGTTAGGCACAGTTGAAGGGAACGTTAGAGGTCAGGTGTACCAGGACGTAGGATGTGTCCCTGTAAGGCTGGTCCTGTGCTGATGGACTTGGTTAAGGTGGATGGGGGAGTGAGTGAGTGGATTGTTGTCAGTGCAGATGGACTCACACTTAAGGTGATTTGCTTGTTTTTCTAGTTTTAATTGCTGATTTGCTGATTTACATACCTGCAGTGGTGCTGTACTGTTGCTGTTTAAAAGAAATCTCATCCAAGAAAAAGGTATATGCTTTTCAGCCCGACCATTTTGAAATGTTTTATTATTGGTTTGTAGGCCCTAATGAAGCTCAGGGAATAGATACGATAATGAGGAACTAGGAAGCTTAAGGAATAGATAGAAGAATGAGGAACAGTGTATTTTCTGTCAGTTAATTTTCCTGTAGGAAGCATGAGTTAAGGTAATCATATGAATGCTTTAGTGATAGTAAGATACACTAAATTTTAGAAGTTACACATTGCTGAAATCCATACTACTGAATTTATTGCTTAATGCATAATTCTGGATTTTTTTTTTTTTAAATCTTGCTTGTATTTATTTGAATGGCAGAGTTATAGAAGGAAAGACACCATTCATCCGCTGGTTCATTCCCCCAAATGACCATAAAGGCGTCGAGACAGGAGCTCCCTTTTGCTCTCCCACGTGGGTGGCAGACCCCAAGAACTTTCTCTGTTTTTCTGTGTTTTCCTCGGCACTTTAGTAGGGAGCTGGATTGCAAGTAGAGCAGCCAGGACTCGAGGCCAGGACTGGGCTGCTGGCTTTGCAAGTAGCAGCTCAACTGCCAGTGCCACAATTGAATTTTTATCTGGCTTATCTGAATTTTAACCTGGTTTGTGAATTGAAAGGCATTTTTGAAGAGTTGTTATATGTTCTGTGGTCTTAGTTATTAAATTAATAGGTTTCTACTTGGTCATTTTAGATGGGCCATATTGTTTGAGTAACCTCTGATGTGTTGTTGTTTTGCTTTGTGAAGGTGCTCCCTGAATCAAATGCTGTTCAGTCATTTCCTTTTCACTGGAGTATCATGAATGACCTATGTGAAAACTTGTTTGATAAAAATAAGTATTTTGAAAAAAAACAAGTATCATGTCAGAAGAATGTTTGCTAGCTACCGAGTTAAATGAAACTACAGTTACCTGCTATTTGAGTTGAAGTAACATGACTTTTTAAAAATATTTTCCTTTACAGATTGCTAATGTGTTATGCATCTTGCTGTATCCAGGCCTTATTCTTATTGACCATGGACATTTTCAGTATCCTTTACTAATCTGGAAATGAAATCAGTTTATATCTTATGACAGTTTAGATATTATGAAATCTAGGCTTGCTTTGTATGTTATCCATTATTGCTAGGATGCTTGCTATTGTAAATTATTTTTATAATGATATGGAAGAATTTCTGAATCAAATTTTTACTTGAAGGACAAAGTACATATTTATCAAAAGGACAATCTCTTTTTCACATGTTTGGCTTGGGCACAAAATGCTGGTGGCTGATGTGCATTTTCTGGAAAGTGGGGAGAAGAGTGCCAAGTGTGGTTATGTTCCCCTTGTTCTCAAAAGGCAAAATGTGTCTCTTGTCTTTGTAAATGTTATTTGAAGAAAAAGGAGAGCGATCTTACAATCTGTGCATTTAAAACAAACTTTCTGTAACATAGTGGTAATTAGGAGCACTGAAATCAAATAATTAAAATCTGTTTAGGTGTGCATTGTTTATATCCAACAAAATTAATCTTAAAGGATGAACTTAATATCTGTGATCATCTGCCTCTTAAAGGAGAAACCAGTATGCAAACATATGATTATTGAATTGAGGATTTTTAAAATTTCTATTCATTTGTATTATAATTAATATGTGTTCCTGTCAAAAGATTTGAAAATAGTTGAATGTACAGTTGTTTTTATCATCTTCTTAAATCTCTCCACTTAACCCAATTTAGTTTTGCCATTGTTGGTGCTGTTTGTAGGACCATGGCTATCAGATGCCCTGGCAATATTGAGAACAATGATTATAAAGAAGTGATAACAGTTATTTACCAGATATTTAAAAAAAATGAATTTACTTATTTGAAAGGCAGAGAAAGAAGTCTTTCATCCTCTGGTTCACTCCCCAGATGGCCACAGTGGCCAGGGCTGGGGTTGGCCAAAGCCATTAGCTCAGTGCTCGATCTTGTGTTTCCCGTGTGGGTGTCAGTCTTCTGCTGCTTTCCCAGGCACATTAGCAGGGCACTGGATTGGAGGTGGAGCATCTGGGATTTGAACTGGTGCTCCAGTATGGGATGCATGTGTGTCATGCTTTGTTTAGCATGGTGCTCCACAGTGCCGTTCCTGATCTTGGGTTGTTTTCAAGAAAGGTGTATCAGTGAACTCGTTCGTAGGTGTGCTGTAGAAGTTTCATTTGGTCCCCGTTTTTACCAGTTGTCTTTTTCATTTTAGCCATTCTGGCAGATTCACAGTGGTGTCACCTCTGTGTTTGAAGTCAACTTTGAAATCTTTTGGGATTATGAAATCACTTTGTGAGGTCACATCAAAAAACTATATCTTTGAGAAGAGAGAGAGAGAAAGAAAGGGAAAGAGGAAGAGTGTAGGCAAGTTCCCGACTGCTTGTCTGTTCTGTCAAATTCTGCATTGGCTGGTCTGGTTGGTGCCGAAGCTGGGACCCAGGACCATAATCTAGCTCTCCATATCACTCGTAGCAGGAACCTGAATGCCTGAGCTGTCACCGCTGCCTGCCAGGACAGCCACAGCCAGTATTTGAACACAAGTATTCTGATGTGGGATGCTGGTGTCTTTAACTGCTGAGCCAAACACCTGCCCTGGGATGTATTTTATTCTTTAAAAGCTTTTTAAAAAATTTATTTGAAAGAGGAGAGGATATGCTGTAATCAGGATCCACTGGTTCACTCCCCAAAGCCAGGAGCCCGAGTTTCTTCTGGGTCTTGCATGTGGGTCCAGGGACCCAGGTACTTGGGTCATCTGTTGCTGCTTTCCCAGGCGCATTAGCAGGAACCTGGACTAGACCTGGAGTAGCTAGGATTCGAATGCCAGGAGTGTGATGCTGGCATTGCAGATGACAGCTCCACTGCTGTGTCACTGCTGGTCCTGTACATCTAAATTTAAGCTGGCTTACGAAAATTACTAAACTAAAAGGCATTTTTGAAAAGTCGTAAGTTCTCTGGTCATAGTTATTAATAGTGTTCTACTTGGCCATTTTATGTAGGTTTAATTATTAAATTACTTGTTAGATTTGTAATTATTTTGCTTTGAGTTTCCCATGTGGTTGCAAGGGCCCTGACACTTGGGCCATCTTCAGTTGCTTTCCAGGCGTCCATATGGGATGCCAGCAATGCAGGCAGAGGCTTATTTTGCTACACCACAACACCAGCCCGTGAACACATTTACAAAAGCCATTATGTACTTTTCTTTGCTCACTCATATGAGGGATATTATCCCTTACTATACAGGCTTCTCTCAAAAATGCAATGGATTAATATTTGTAAACCACTTAAAGCAGTTCTTCGGAGATAATCATTATATAGGTATTTGTTACTGTTATTATTTATCTTTTGAACTCTGAATTTCTTAAGGATTTGTTTCAGCATAAAGGTTCTGTATCATTATTTTGTTCACTGCATAGGTCTATCCATGTTTTTTAGTTTCTATTTTCTAAGTTTTGAATTAATTACTACAAAGATGATGGGATTATAGACCCATGTGGGCCTCTGATGTCCATAAGGATGGATGGATGGGGAGAGAAGGTGGGTGAGATAAATGTTTCAGTTTTCCTTTCTGCATCCACAGTGGGGTGGGGGAGCAAGTATGCTGCTCTCTGCGGTCACAGTATTGTATCAGTGCCCGGGGAGGCAAAGGTATTCGGAGGCCCTGGTGTGGGGAAAAATATTCCAGGGGTGTTACTTGAGTGGTCTTGATTTGAGAATTCGTTGACTTCATTACACCAGAGGTGTGAAATTCTAAGACCTATTGGTTGTTCTTGTCTACCTCAGTGTGCCCACAGACCTGGGTGCCTTATCTAGAGCCTGGCCCCAAGTATCATTCAAACTGTCCTTGCTTGCATCTTTTGATGAGGTATTTGAAGTCTTGAGCTGGCTGTCTTGTCTTTTGTGTTCATCTGGATAGGCTCTCCATTCTTGTATGTGGATCAGCAACTGAGATGGCCCAGTCCTGCAGTGTACTCCACGATTAGACTACTTGTCTGTATGATTTTCCCTGAGATTGGGGACTGCATGTAGTGGTCTAGTAGGGAAGCTCCTAAGAAACCTCACCTGGGATGTCTTCAGACCTTGCTGTCATGTATCTCAGTTGGTGCAGGGTTTTGCTTAATCTGCCTGCTGCACCAGCCAATGCAGGTACCTGGATGTACAGCTGCCTGGTCAGTTCTGCCCCAGCCCTGGCTCTTATGTGAATTGGTGGGTGCTGCAGCCTAGTTCAGCCTAGCCCACCTTTAGCTCATTTTTGTGTGCAATGGTTTTGGGCTAGCTGGGGCAACTCATATGAACCTTTACTTATGCTCTCCCCCAGCCTTGATTCTTGCATGAGCCAGCAGGTGGTGGTCTGGTTATGCCCTGCCCGCTCCCAGCCCTGGCTCTCTTGTGTGTCATTGGCGCTGCAACCTAGCAGTGATGTCCCCAAAGATTCCTTACCAAGCCCATCCCTAGTTCCAGTTCTCATGTGTTCTGCTGTGGCTGTGGTACAGTAGAGTGTGGCCTGCTCCCAGCCCTAGCACTCAGTGGGTGCTGCAGCTTAGAGTGGCCCAACCTACCCCCACTCCCAGCTTTTGCCTGCAGGTGCTGCAGCCTAGCCCACCCTACTCCCAGCTCGATTCTGGCACAGGCAGTGCTGTCTCTGTTTCTGTCTGTCTCTCTCTCCCTGTGATTCTTTCAGATAAGTAGGCAACGGGGTGTTCTCAAAAATCACGTACCAGATCCACTTCTGGCCCCAGTTCTTACATAGGCTGGCAAGTGCTGTGGCCAACCCAGTGTGGCCCACCCACATGCTGGATTTTTACTGGTTTGTGTTATAGCCTAGTGAAGGCAACCCTGACAGACCTGCTCCCAGACACTGCTCTTGTGAGTACCAGCTGTGACCTAGTTGTGTTGGCCTGGCCCCAGCTCTTGAGCATGTGTGTGGGTACTTTGGCTTGACTTAGGGAGGACCTCCCAATTTCTCCTTCTGGTCTACCCTGTCTCAACTTCCTCAATTACCTGCTGGTGTAATGGCTCAGTCCATGGAAGCTACAGAAATCATTTTATGTATGTCAAAGAAGCTCTCAGTGACTCATCCCCTGGCAAATAAACACCCTCTTCCCCCAACACACTTGTGGCGGTGGCAGACGAGTGGTCCCAGGTGGCAAAAGCATTTTCCTCAGATCTTTAAAGAAAAAAGTATTGCAGGAGGTGGCTTTCTTGATAATGTGTCCGGGAAAGCAGAAGAAAATGGCATAAGTGTTGGGGCCCGTGCTACCCATATGGGAGACCCAGATCCCAGGTAGGGCTTCAGGCTCCTGGTGCTGGCCTGGCGCAACGCTGGCTGTTGCTGCCATCTGGGGAGTGAGCCAGTGGATGGAAAATCTGTCTCTGTTTCTCTCTCTCCCTGTGAATCTTTCAGATAAGTAGGTAATTAGAAAAAAAAAAAAAAAGGGAAAAGAAGAATGTGAGCGTCCCCTGCATGGGGTCAGTGGGCGAGGAGTTGGCCTCCACATTTGGCGTCCTTAAATGTTCACAGGTGCAGCGCTGTGTGCTACAGTGCTCCCCTCTGTACTGGCTGCCCTGCGCAGTTGCTTCCATTTGTTGGAGGAACTGTTTCTTTTTTAGTTGCATAGGAGAAGTCAGGGCCAGATCCTCTTTGCACAGGACTAGGGTGAGGTCTGACTTTCCAGTCCAGGCATCTTCCCTCAGTCCCTTTGTTTTCTTTCTGACGTGATACTTGGCTTGCCTGGCTTCTTGCGCACCCAGGTTCTATGGATTGGTCCCTGGTGTCCCTGAGTTGTCCACCCTGTGCTGTGGCTTCTTGCGCACCCAGGTTCTGTGGATTGGGTCCCTGGTGTCCCTGAGTGGTCCACCCCATGCGATGGCTTCTTGCGTACCCAGGTTCTATGGATTGGTCCCTGGTGTCCCTGAGTTGTCCACCCCGTGCTGTGGCTTCTTGCGTACCCAGGTTCTATGGATTGGTCCCTGGTGTCCCTGAGTGGTCCACCCTGTGCTGTGGCTTCTTGCGTACCCAGGTTCTGTGGATTGGTCCCTGGTGTCCCTGAGTTGTCCACCCCGTGCTGTGGCTTCTTGCATCCTGTTTTGTTTCTTCCTACTTCTGTCTTCTGGAACTGTGTTAAAGTCATTAGCATGATCCAGCATTATGTTCTCATTATGGCTGTGCAATTTAAGACTTTTTCAGTTCCTTATCATTTTAAAGGGTTCTCAGGAAGGAGAGGATGTAAATGTGAGTGCCTAGCCTACCTGTTTGAAAAGAAAATTGAATTTTGGGCCTGGTGTGGTAGCCTGTTAATTAAAGACCTTGCCTTGAATGCACTGGAATCCCATATGGGCACTGGTTCATATCCCGGCTGCTCCACTTCCCATCCAGTCCCCAGCTTGTGGCCCGGAAAAGAAGCGGAGGACGGCCCAAAGTCTTGAGACCCTGCACCCATGTGGGAGACCCAGAACAAGCTCCTGATTCCTGGTTTTGGATCGGCTCAGTTCCAGCCTTTGCAGCCACTTGGGGATTGAGCCAGTGGACGAAAGATCTTTCTCTCTGTCTCTCCTTCTCTCTGTAAATCTGGCTTTCCAATAAAAATAAAAAAAATTTTTACAGTGTTAATTACTATTTAAACATCTTTAGTACTGGTACAAGGAATATAATAATTTTAGAGGAAGGATGAGATCATTAGCTTTTTTTTTAAGATTTATTTTATTTTTATTGGAAAGGCGGATATACAGAGAGGAGAGACAGAGAGGAAGATCTTCCGTCCCACGATTCACTCCCCAAGTGAGCGCAACAGCCGATGCTATGCCGATCTGAAGCCAGGAGCCTCTTCCGGGTCTCCCACGTGGGTGCAGGGTCCCAAAGCTTTGCGTTGTTCTGGACTGCTTTCCTGGGCCATAGGCAGGGAGCTGGATGGGAAGACGGGGCCGCTGGGATTAGAACCGGCGCCTATATGGGATCCCGGGCATGCAAGGCGAGGACCTTAACCACTTGCGCAACCGCGCTGGGCCCGAGATCATTAACTTTTAAAACATTTTTATTATTTATTTAAAATTTATAGAGAGCTCCTATTTACTAGCTTACTTCTCATATGGCCACAAGAGCGAGTGCTGACTGACGCCAAAGCTAGGAGCTTGGAACTAATTTAGTTATCTTCTGTATGGGTGCAGCGATCCAAGCTGTTGGGTCATTACCATTGCCTCCAAGTCTGCTGATTAGCAGGAACCCGGAGTGAGAAGCCAGATATTGAGACATGGGATACTGGCATTTTAAGCAGCATCCTGACTGCTGTGCCAAATGCCTGCCTGCAGTTTTAATTTGTTTAAATTATATTTTAAGATTTGAAATGCAGAGTTACAGAGAGAGGAAGAGAAACAGATTTTCCTTCCGTTGGTTTACTTCCCAAATGGCCACAACAGCTGGAGCTGGCTTGGTCTGAAGCAAGGAGCCAGGAGCCTCTTCTGAGTCTTCTGTGTGGGTGCAAGGGCCCAAGCACTCAGGCCATCTTTTGCTGTTTTCCTAGGCCATTAGCAGGGAGCTGGATTAGAATTGGAGCAGTTACGACATATGCTCATATGGGACCCAGTGCTCATAAGGGGCACTAGCTTCCCAAAAGGAGGATTAGCTTACTATGCTACCGCAATGGCCCCATATTGCTCTTTTAAGCCGAAACAGATCACTTGCTGCTCAGCAGATTTAATATATTTGAAACTATTACATAGAGCCTCACATTTGCTAATTATTTTAATATTTCTTCTTAAACATCTTAAGGAATATGCTCTGTAGCATGTAGGGTTTGTTTTAATTTTTGCAGTAATTTCCTTGACACGGGCACATGTATAATTCTGTGAGTCTTGGCTTTGCTTTGTGGGGTGTTCTCGGAGTGTGTCATGACTGGGACCTGTTAGGGTCACTGGCATTTTGCTTAGCTTTAAATTATAAGCAGATGGAGCTTTACCATTCCTTGCCATTTTTTTGCTTTCTACTTGGCAAGTGTTTTAAAAAAGGCCTCAAAGGAAAAGGGTGAGTAACCTTTTTCTTTGTTTGGAAGTGGCAGTGAGTGAGTGAGTGTGAGCAAGCCCCTCTCAGTCGGTTCACTCTCCAGATGCCCAGCAGCATGAGAGCTGGGCTGGGGCAGAGCCCGGAGCGGGGAACTCAGCCCAGGTTACCCTCATGGGGGCAGGAACCAGATTACTGGAGCCGTCACTGCCACCTCTCAGGGCCTGCTTGGTGGGAACCTGGAGCCACAGCACGCGCAATCGGGAATGGAACCCGGGCACCTGATGTGGGAGACAGGGATCTTGGCTGCCAGGCCGGTTGTCCACTGCCTTCATTATTAGTAGTAGTACTTTTTAAATTCCAGAATTCAAAGATTTACTGAAGAGAATGTGTGTGTCATACTTGCCTAGAAAGAGGCCGTCTCTCACTTTATCTATTAGTATTGTCCTATAAATGAGTTGGTTATGGCTAAGTGGGAACAGAGAGATTAATCACATTCCATACTCCTGTATTTTAAATCTTCCCAACTAAAGAAATATTTTGATCAGTGTTCATTTATTGGAAGTAATGTGAATTTGCATATTAGAGCATTGCTGCAGGATTTTTATCACTTTAGAGCTTATTATGCTAGACACTTTTAGAACCATGTCCCCATTTGATGTTTCTCATCATGGCTGCATGCCCTTATTCCCCCAGAAATGGCATCTAGGTTACATGTTAACTAGGAGAATGAGAGCAGCCTTTTGGGTGGAGAAGCACACCTCTTAATTGTGCAGTTTTCAACTCTGATTTGAGCAGGCTCTGCTCTTGAGCCTGTGTTGGTGGCTTTTGTTGTATCCCAGGAGCTTTCGGTGGATTTCTCGGGCTCAGTGACTGTGCCCTGTCTAACTCTCGTGCCTGTGTTGTAGGTTTGTGCTGCTTGTTAAGCTGGCATGTACAGTCGCCGCTGCCTTCATCTTCTGTTGGCTGCCATTCTTCACAGACAAGGAGCAGACCCTGCAGGTTCTCAGGAGACTCTTCCCAGTGGATCGGGGTCTGTTTGAGGTGAGTTCTGAAAATTTCCTCTCATTTCTTGTGACTTCCCCTCTGCTGTGACCTTTGGGGATCTTCTGGCTACAACCCAGAAGGATTAGGAATGTCAGCTGTTTCCCCTGCAGTCTTGCCAGCTATCTTATCCAGTGTGTGAGCCAGCTGGCACTAACTAGTACATTACATGAATCGGTAATATTTATGCCATCATCAGATCCATAATTCAGTTACCCATTTTGCTAATGAAATAAATAGTGTCCAATGTGAAACAAAGCATGAAAAGATGTAGCTAGCAAGCTAACAGCTCTGTAATTTTTGGCTTAGGAAATTATTTGTTAAACTAATAATCATGTTTGCTTCAGAAAGATCTTATAATTCCTTATGAGAGATAAAACCTTCACTCACAGTAATTTTTAATGAGAATCTCTCATTTCATTTAATGGTAATTTAATCACTCTTGTTAAACTTTTATTGCAAGAATAATTTGACCACTTAAATTTAGTCATGAAATTAAACCAGTTTTTTTCTGCAAAAGGCCTTTAATAAAGTTAAAGACAATATATTTACAGTAATTTAGTTTTGAATAGCATTTCTTTCTTAAAAGAAAATCTATTTTTCAAATTTTTTGAGTGTATTAATTTCCATAATTGTTCAGTGGGTTTATAGGTTTATAGAACTGCAAGTTGAAAGAAATTAAGGGAGGAATCTATCGTGAAGGAACAGGCGAGTGTGAGTGTGGACTGGTGGGGGTGATATGTACAATATCAATCACTGTTATCTTCACCACCACCTACCAGGTACCACACATGTCCCTGTAATTGTATTTGATCCTTATAGTAGCTTTGAAGTAGCTGTTATTCCCACTTTACAGATAAGAAAACTGGGATTCACGTGACGAGGACATGGCAGAGCTGTGATTTGGAAACTGCTCAGAGCTGCTGCTTTATGTGACACTTAACCTTTAAACACCAGTATAAAGAAAAGTATAATTTTCCACATAAAGTGCCTGATTATTTGTGTTATGTTCCATTTCACAAGTCTCATTTATCATAGTAATTATACACATGAACAGCACACATATGGTGTTCCTGGGGTCTTCCATTCACTGTCACCCTTCAAGGCAGAGAGCGTTTTCTTGTCTGCGATGGAGAAAGGCAGGATGAGCCCATTGGCGGGAGGTGACTCTCAGTGCTGAACCCCACAGCCTTGTGTGGGCGCCATTGGCAGAGGTGACTCTCAGTGCTGGGCCCCACAGCCTTGTGTGGGCGTCCCCCTGGCGGGAGGTGACTCTCAGTGCTGGGCCCCACAGCCTTGTGTGGGCGCCATTGGCAGAGGTGACTCTCTTGGTGCTGGGCCCCCATGGCTGTGCGTCAGGCAGCCATGCAGAGGATGGGGTGATGAGCATGAGAGCTGTGGTTACAAACCCAGTGTGGACAGTGATTCATGGAGTAACCACTAATGTCTTTAAACTTCATTTCTTTGTAAACTAGCTCTCACCATTGCTGGTAGGTTACTTTAAGTAAATTCAGGTGTGTGAAAAGACAGGTCAACTATATTATGTGTGTTACAAATTAGGAAAAACAAAGTTTTTTCAGAAAATTTCCCAAGTTGAGTAACTTCGGTGTTTAGGAGTTAGTGTACTGCTCTTTGAAAAACAGGATAGTATTTTCTTGGGAGTGACTCTCGATTTAGATCAATTCCCATCACGGAAGAAAGTTGAGAATGCGCATGTGTACAGGCTCATGGCATTGAGGCCCATCTACTCTGTTATAACTGAATACAAGCCCACGTGTCTCGGAGCTTTACCTACTCACTCTGCTCTATAGGTCTAGTACTTCTTGGCACTGCCATGTAAAAACAACACATCTCTTTTTAGGATAAAGTAGCCAATGTTTGGTGCAGCCTCAGTGTTTTTCTGAAGATTAAGGATATTTTACCACGTGACATCCAGATACTAATCAGGTAAGAGGCCCAGGTTTTCTATAGTGTTTATGTAAGCTTCTCCAAAGTACTAGGATAGTATCTGTTAGGGAGTGAGGTGTTCTTCAGTGGTGACTTTTCCACGTCACTTCGAACTGATTCCTCTGTTCGGAACTTTGTTTGAATTGTTTATAGGAACGTCTTTCCTGAATTGTGACTGAGATTGATTTAAGTGTTTGCAAGCCTGAGTGACAGAGCAGAGAGGGAGAGAGAGAGAAAGCGAGCGATCTCCCTCCCACTGGTTCACCCTCCAGATGGTCACCATTGCCAGGGCTGGACCCCAGCCCCAAGCCAGGAGCCAGAAACTCCATCAGGTTTCCCACAGGGGTGGCAGGACCAGCCACAAGTACTGGGACCATTTGCTGCTGTTTTCCCAGGCACATCAGCAGGGAGCTGGGCAGGAAGATGAGCAGCTGGGACCTGAACCCAAATGGGATCCTGGTGTCACAGCTTTTGCCTCTACCTTCTGTACCACTGGCCTTACCTAATTTTCTTCTTGGAGAATACACCTGACAGAGAGTACCAGGTTTAAAATTACCTTGAAGATTCCTGGCTGGCCGCGATGTATTAGGGTCAAGCCAAGGAGAACTAGTAGGGGATCAGCTGTGTGTATAGAAGCTGGCTCTGCCATTGTGGAGCTAGCTAAATCAGAAGTGCAGGAGGCAGGCAGGACTCCCTGGAGGAAAACCAGTGTCCTTTGGGCCCAGCTGCTCTCAGGGAAGGCCTGAGCCACCTTGTGCAGGGCTCCACGCTGTCCCCGCAGGACCCTGCACCTGAGCTTATGTACTGCCAGCTGGGCATGGACTTGTAGTCTCTTCCCTAGATCAGTGTTTGAGTGACTAGGAGATGGGCACCACCTCCTTCCACCCTCCAGTCTTGGGGCCCACCCTAACAGGAGACCTCCCAGGAAGTTCTGCAGCCGGTAGTTCAGCCTCACCAAGTTGGCAGGTCACAAAACCATCAGAGTGGGATAACTGGCCTCCAGCTATATGTCTGTTTCTTTTCTGTGCATATTAAATATTAAAATAATGTAAGAAATACTTAGTGTTATGTTTTATTGTATATCATTTAATCACATATAAAAGCATACACGCACACATACATACATACATATAGGGGCCGGCTCAGTGGCACTGTAGGTTAATCCTCAACCCTGTGGCATTGCCATCCCATGTGAGCTCTGGTTCATGTCCCTGCTGCTCCACTTCTGATCCAGCTCTCTGCTAATAGCCTGGGAGGGCAGTGGATTATGGCATAAGACCTGAGAGCTAGGCACCCATGTGGGAGGTGGGGAAGAAGCTGCTATCCCAGCTCTGGACCAGCTCAGCTCCAGTCGTCGTGGTCATTTGGGGAGGGAACCAGTGGATAGAAGACCTAGTTCTCTCTGTAAAATCTGCCTTTCAAATAAAAATAATTGTATCTTTAAAAAAAGCATATCTCTATCTGTAAATATCCATGTGTAGATTTAGATATTATTTGACCTTAAATTAAAAAAAAATTAGTTTGTGGTTGATAAATAATGTGAGCCTTATTTTTTTAAATTATTTTATTTAGCTGAATTTTATAACTACGGAAATTATTTTGTTTTTATTACTTTTTTAGCTTTTGTTTTACATTTCTGAGTCTGCTTCCTGCATGTATAAAATTAATGCTTCAGCCCTCTCTCAGAGGATTCAAATTTACCCTGGTAAGTTTCCCGGTATTTAGATATACTTAATTGCTGTAACTGATCACTTGAAAATGCAGATAATTATGTTCTTACTTTGAATAGGACTTAGTGGAACTGGAAATAAAACATTCTTTGTCATTTATTGTCTGAGATGCTGTGCTGTGTTGAACAATCAGAATTTGTTTGATTCAATAGCTATTTAATTTCTGGATTTTGTTAGTGATGAGGGAAGACAAAACAGTGACAATAAACATGTTTACATAATTGTTATTAGGCAGAATGACGGTTAAAATATGTCAGGCACGGATGAAGTTCTGTGATGGTGTGGGAAAGGGAGATGATAGCTTGAGGGAAGGTTTCACAAAGGCACTTGGAGAAAGTGGGCCTGAACTTTCTCCAAGTGAAAGTTGGGCAGGATTTGGAAAAGGAGGCTCTATAACAGGTAAGACATTCAAGAAAGCAGAAAGATGCTCAAGAGCCAGGAAGTAACGGGAACGTTCTGGAACTGCTCATGAAATTGGGGTGTGTGAGTGTATGTGACATGTGCTCAAGGCAGGAGACAATCTGTTATGAATAAGGGTGAAAGCAGAGAACATTCTAAAAATTTGGTTTAAAAGATTCAGTGTTTAATTTGTGTGCAAGAGGAGATAACCATGGCTTCTAAGAAGGGGTAGCTGTGTGTTTAGGAAGATGGCTTGGCGCAGTTTGAAGATGAACTGGATATATTTTCTATATTTTATTCACATTTCCATGATTCTCTTCCTATTATATGTGCCTTGGCTTGTAAAATCATAAAAATAGCTTCATTTTAAAAAAAAATGTTGGGAGCGAGAGAGCAATCTTACCTGCTGGCTCCATCCCCAGGGCCTGCGCTGGCTGCGCTTGGGCCAGGCTGAATGTGGGGTTTCCCTCGTCAGTGGCAGGACGCCCCCACTGGAGCCATCTCAGTTGCCTCCTAGCGTCTTCATGAACTAGAAGCTGGAGCGAAGAGCTGGAGCCAAGTATCAAACCCAGATCCTCTGATAGACCAAGTGCCTGCTCCCCAAAACACTTTTTAAAGTATTAAAGACTTTTAGTTTGTGTGAAAACAGTAAATCCCAATGCTGTTATAAGAAAGGATAACATTTGAGAACTTGGGGTTAAATTCTGCCACTCAGATGGCATTCTGAAAACAAGCCTGAGCAGAGACGGCAGCGGTGAGGGATCTAACGGTGCACCTCAGGACCACAACACAGGAGAGCCGTGGTCAGCTGTCCCCTTCTGTTCCCTCCTGCTGTGGGCTATGCGATGGTGGTCTGTGAGTGAGCTCTGACACCCCAAGTCATCAGTGGTTGGTGCTCTATGGCACATCTAGAACACAATGGCTCTCATAACTGGCCAGATCTCACTTGAAGTATTTTCAAACTTACGAAAGAGTGTATATTTCTCTAGAAAACAGAATGCTAAATATGGGTGTCTTTAAAATACAATGAAATCAGATTTAGTTTAACTATAGCAGCCTTAAGGATAGTTGCTTTTAGGACTAAAAATCACAAAAATACTTTCTTCTTGTTAATTTTGTGATTTTATTCTGTTTGCATTGGTTTCCTACAAGCCCTGATGCTTTTTTTAAAAGTAAAATTTAGAATTTTTATTTTATTTTAAAATTTTATTTAAATATTTTTATGTCTTGTTTTGAATCTTCCTCATATACATCTGAACGCTGTGAAAACGTTTGCCATTAGTTATTTTTACAGCTTTGTCTGGGGCCAGGCCTTTGGTGCTGAAACCTTGGGGTGTCTGTGTCCCATGCACAGTGTCCAGGGTCAGCTCCCAGCCGATCCTGACTCCAGCTTCCTGTGCCTCTGCTCCCTGAGAGGCAGTGGACGGCTCAAGCACATGGGTCTCTGAAAGCCATGCAGGAGACCTAGCGTGAGTTCCCAGCCCCTGGGTTCAGCTTAGCTCAGCCTGGCCATTGGAGGCATTCAGGGTATAAACCAGCAGATGGGAGAGCACTGTCGTTCATTCTCTGGCTTTCAAATAAATGCAAGTTAAAATTTTTTTCAAGTTTGAATTGTGTTTTGATAGGCATCTGGGATTGAGGTCATCTGTATTGTATTAACCTATCCATAGGAGCAAAATGCTATCTGATTTACACAGCTAGTGATAGCCAGTGACCACCCTCTAACATGATGGTCCTCTTTAGGGGCTGGTATGTGCGGAGCTAACAGCCTAGCTGCCTTGATTTGGGGCCTTTCATGATAGTGGCAGGAAATGACAAATCTGTTCACAGGAAACTGGGACTACTGAGTGCTCTGAGAAGAAAATAGTGTTAGCTGGTAAGGTGGGACTGAAGGGAGCCATTTTATAGAAGGCACTTTTTTTTTTAAAGATTTATTTTTATTGGAAAGGCAGATTTACAGCAAGAAAGACATTTTCCATCTGCTGATTAATTCCCTAGATGGCCACAGTGGTCAGAGCTGAGCTGATTCGAAGCCAGGAGCCAAGAGCTTTTGCTGGGTCTCCCACACAGATGCAGGGTTCCAAGGCTTTGAGCCATCCTCCTACTTTCCCAGGCTATAAGCAGGGGGCTGGATGGGAAGTGGAATAAGGAAATGAACTGGTGCTTGTATGGCTTGCCAACACTGCAGGTAAGAGATTTTGATGCTACACTGCTGTACCAGCCCCTAGAGATCACATTTGACCTAAGAAGTGAATGACTAGCCAGAAGGGGCCAGCCACAAGATCCAGGCCTTGGCCTGAGGAAATCCAGTTTTTCCTTAAGATAGGAAAATATTTGGCATGTCTGAGGCATCAAAGAGCAGGTGGGAAGTGGCTGGTCAGGAGTGAGTTCAGTGATGAATGGATTAGAAGCAGGAGGAGTCAGATCTTGTAGAAGTGTTGATTCTGTTCTAAATGTAATAGGAAGCTATTAGAGAATTTAATTTTTTTAAGATTTATTTATTTCAAGGTAGAGTGACACATAGAGAAACATGTTTCTGTCTGTTGCTACACTCCTCAATGGCCAGGGCTGGACCAGCATGAAGCTAAGAGCTCAGAGCTCCCATCGAGTCACTAACCTACATAGCAGGCACCCATTGCATTTTCCACACTCATTATCAGGAAGCTGGATTGGGAGTAGAACAGTTAGAACTCAAACCCATGTTGATATGGGACTGCAGCATTGCAGGCTGCAGCTTAACTGGCTGTGCCACAAAGCCGGCCTCTGCTAGAGAGTTTTTAACAGAGAAACGGAATGGCCTGACATGGTAGTTGGAGAAAATTATAAGGGGGCAGGAGTGGTGGCACTTAGGTTATGACGAGTCTCAGATAAGAGGTTTAGATCACTCCTCTGCCACCGTCAGGGGACTGTAGAGAAGTGTGCGTGCCGTATTTTGGAGGAACTTTAGGTGGGATTTGCTAGTGGGTTAGATGTGTAACGTACAAAATACTGATTCAGTTTTGCTTGAGAACTGGGTGGATGTCTGTAGATGGATGTCTGTTGTAGAGAATACAATGAATGAACATGGATCTCAGTGCTTTTTACATTTAAAACACCAAATGGCAAGTGATTAATTTAGAAGACATTTCCTATATTTTATTGAAATACACATTTTAAAACCATTGAAATAAATTGGCTTTGCCCATTTTGGATATTGGGCTTTTTCATTTGAATTGCCAGACATTCCAAGGGGGATGAAAGTGTGAATGATGTGTCTGAGAGCTACTGGATTTTGTTTATTAACACCGGATTCTCAGTGAAGTTATTGTAGCTTTGTAATCATTTATCCCAAAAATATTTTTATTCTTAAATTTGTTGGAAATATTATGTGTATTAACACGCTATATATATATATATCTTTTTTAAGATTTATTTATTTTTATTGGAAAGGCAGATATACAGAGAGGAGGAGAGACAGAGAGGAAGATCTTGTCTGATGACTCACTCCTCAAGTGAGCGCAATGGCTGGTGCTGTGCCGATCCAAAGCCAGGAGCCAGGAACTTCCTCCAGGTCTCCCATGCAGGTGCAGGGTCCCAAAGCTTTGGGCTGTCCTAGACTGCTTTCCTAGGCCACAAGCAGGGAGCTGGATGGGAAGTGGAGCTGCCGGGATTAGAACCGGTGCCCATATGGGATCCCGGCGCGTTCAAGGTGAGGATTTTAGCTGCCAGGCCACGCCGCCTGGCCCTTGTATTAGTGCTATATATTTTCCATCTTACTTCAATATAGAACCTGCAAAATGCTGAAAGTTTCACTTGAAGTGTCTTTTTTAGATTCATAATTAAATTGACCTGTTTGGTCAGCTGTCATACCTCCTCCTCCCCATTTTCTCTTACAGGTTGGCTGTGCGCTATCATTCTTTCTGTTTTCTTTCCAAGTACATGAGAAGTCAATTCTCTTGGCATCATTGTAAGTAGAAGTGTTTGTAGTATACATTTGCTATCATGTGCTCATATCAATTTTATAATTTATATAAACTATAGAAATACTGGTTATATCTTTGCAAACATTGAAGCATACATATCAGCATTATGTCTGAAATGTTCCTGTGTTTTTGATGTGTTTGCTGTGTGAAACTGTCCTCCAGAGGCCTGCGCTTGGAGCCTTCCCATGTCACTCCTCATGCTCTCCAGGGTGCCCCACAGGGCTGGCCTGGGGCTCCTCCTCTTGGCTTTTGTGTTTGCTTCCCCAAGACTTTTGTTTTGATCTGATTGGCACTTCCTATTATTTTAAGAACATTAGATTTCTTCTTAGTCTTCTGGGAAAGAACTGGATAATACTGTAGGGGGTGGGGTGGGAGGGTAGAGATTATCTTAATATTAAAATGGTATTTGCCCAGAGCACTTTGGAATACATGCATCTTCCGCCAGGTCAGTGCCACCCCATGACTACTGTGCTGCATAGCCTGCTTTCACTGCACATACATGTGCAGAAGGATCAGTGACAAATGGAAGGTAGTGTTGCTCTGGACTAAATTCTCATTGCCCAGCCTCCTAGGAAGCTGGGCTGGCCTGTGTAGACGGCTTCTTTACTCTGAACACAGTAGTCTGCGATCCCTGCAGCCCAGGAGGACTACTCAATGCCATCTCCTGCAGCCCATGTTCGAGTTACACACGATAGCAGGGTCGGTCATGCACAGGTTCAGTCCCATTTGGGAACTTGGGCATTTGTTCTGCCTATCTGATCCTTCCCTTCAGTTGCTGTGTGTATGACAGAAAAAAGTTCCACTAAGTGGAATATTGGAAGCAGTTTCCCAGTTACAAATTGATACTATATGTGTCCATACTAATTTTGCTTGAATTTTTATTTTTAAAAATATCACTGTTTTCTATGACCTTCCTGCCTTTTTTTAGGGTATTCAAGAAAACCACTGATAAAATGTGTTTATATTTTTGCACATAGGGTTGAAACTATATTCTGTAATATTAGCCTTTTTTTTTTTTTCTCATTTTAGACCTGTCTGCTTAGTCTTAAATGAAATTCCTTTTATGGCAACTTGGTTTTTACTGGTGTCAACATTTAGGTGAGTCGGACCAATTTCCATATACTATTTTGAGTTTGATGCTTGTGAACTCATTAAAATGGTTTTGCAAGTGGTTTGGTGGACGGGTCTCCTCTGATGTGTTCCGTTTTCCCTTCCAGTATGCTGCCTCTCCTGTTAAAGGATGGCCTCCTCATGCCCCTGGTGGTGACAGTCCTGGCCTTCTTCACAGTTTGTGCAACATCCTTCTCAATATTTGAAAATGTTGGTGAAGAAGAATTGCAGCTGAAATCTTTTTCCATTTTTGTAAGGAGATATCTCCCAAGATTTAAATTTCTTCCCAGAATTATACAGTATTTGGTAAGTTGTTCCGTTTCTTAAAATTGGTACTTTCTTAGCATCTACTTGTATTATTATATCACTGAAAAAAATTTTCTAGCTTTTGATATGTAATTCAAATAAAGTCTCTTAAAAGTGTCTAATTGAGGGATCTGAAGTATGTATATAGATCTGTATATCTCATCATAATGGAACTTTGTTACTCCAAAAAGAAACCTTGTATTGCTTAGCACTTATTCTCCATTCTAAACTATTCCAAATCCAGTCAAGTAGTTATTAATGCATTCTCTCCTATAGATTGGCCAGTCTTGGACATTTCAGGAGGTAAAATGGCAGCTTGGGCTGCCATACCAAAAAACCAGACTGCAAGGCTTAAACAATCCCGGAGGCTGCAAGTCCAAGGCCAAGAGGTTATCACGGTTGATTTCTGGTGGTGCTCCTCTTTCCAGCTCTAGGATGGTCTCTATTTTGTGTGCACACGGAGAGAAATCTCTGGTCTTAGTAAGAACAGCAGTGCTACTGGATTCAGGCCCCACTTTTATGATGTCATTAAATCTTAATTTTTTCCCTAAATATACTTGTCTCCAAATAGTCATGCTGTGCGTTTTTCAGTTTGGAAGATATTGGCAGCATGTTTATAACTGTTTTGTAAGCTCCTGTCCTTCCCCATGGTTCACTAGAATGGCCACTGATTACTCTCTATTCATATCTTACCAGTGCTGTGGTTAGGCAGCATGAGTGCGTTCCTTTGAATGTCCCGCCTGCTTCAGTAAGGTCCTTACTGTTGTTCACTGCTTGCTTTCAACATTGTATGTATTGTGCTAGGAACAAAGTGAACATGATATGGCTAGTTCTTGTCTTAAATAGAGCAGAATTCACTAGCCAGTAGTTGTGGGCATATCTTAAATGCTGTCACATACATGGTTGGCAGCCATTGTCTTAGTGTTCAGATACAAACATTTCCACCACACAAACTTCTACAGTCATCACAGAAAGTTGTGCTGTTGAGCACACTGGTTTAAGGAAAACTTGATTATTACACAGCTACCATAGGTAGGATAACCCGGTGTTTTACTATAGCTTTGGCTCATTGAAAGCATCCAGTGAATATGGAATATAATTTCCCATTTGTCATGGAAAAGTATTTCATATTCAAGGGCTGAGGATTATTCTAAGAATTTCTACCCTATGCAGAACACAGGGCCCAAGGAGAAGCTGTGATTGTAATCCTGACTCCCAGTAACTCTTGTCTAAACATCTTTTCAGTGCCTGTGTGGTATGAAGGATGAGTTGTTTTCAAGCCTTGACTACACGGGGATTTAGAGAACTTTCAAAAGTACTAGGACTCCCTCTTAAACTTTGATTTATGCAACAGGCATTTACTTAAGGGTTATGATGGTGGTTGGGACACAGTTTTCCATGTTGAAGTACCTAGGTTCAAATCCTGACTCCACTCCCAACTGGGAATTGTCAGGAATATGTACTGTGGGAGACAGCTCCTGGGAGATCTGGACTGAGTTTGCAGCTCCCTGTTTGTCTGGCCTACTCCTAGTGCTGTAGGTGTTTGGGAACTGAAGCAGATAGGAGCTCTGTCTTAAAGAAAGAAATATATTTTCTTTTGAAGTTGTCTGAGGTTTGAGAAAACAAAAAAGATCCTTGAGATGATTCTAATGCAGACAAAGTTGAGATCTAGCAGTAGAAAAGACTGGCCCTTTAGCCCTGTCTTGTAATTCTCATGTAATAGCTACAGTACATGAAATGTCACCTTTTAAACTAAGCAGTTCTTCTTTTCTTTCTCATTGTAGTTTTTTCTCTCAGTAATCACCATGATCCTTCTGACGCTGATGACCGTCACGCTGGATCCGCCTCAGAAATTACCCGACTTATTTTCTGTATTGGTGTGTTTTGTGTCCTGCTTGAACTTTCTGTTCTTTTTGGTTTACTTCAACATCATAATCATGTGGGATTCGAAAAATGGAAGAAGTCAAAAGAAAGTAAACTAGCCGTACCCCCGAATCTGAACCAGTGCTAAAACTTCTTGTCAACTTTTTTTGCCATGAATGGAAGCTATTGAGAATGATGGAATTAAGGGAAGGAAATGATGTGAAGTCATTGAAGACAGATGTGGGCTTTTACTTCTTAATATTGCCTGGCCACAATACTTTGTAATTTTAATAATATTCATCTCTAATCAAGTGAAAAAATAAGAGGAAAATGTCTTTAAAATCAGTGTTTATTTAGGGAATACATCCTGTAATAGTGTTTTGGGAAAAAAAAATACCTGGAAATAGTGTGAGCTAATTGGGAGAGTTAAGCCACTTCTCAGAAAGTGCTAAGTCTGGTATTCAGACTTCATCTTCCTGACATTCTGGAAGGTGAGTAATGTGCACTTCACTGAGTTACTGCTCAGGGCATTACACCTGTGGCCTTGTTGGAAAGTCAGATATACAGAGAGAAGGAGATACAGAGAGAAAGATCTCCCATCCACTGGAGCCAGGAGACCCTTCTGGGTCTCCCACACAGGTGCAAAGTCCCAAGGCTTTGGGCCATCCTTTAATGGTTTTCCAAGCCACAAGCACAGAGCTAGTTGGAAGTAGAGTAGCCAGGATAGGAACTGATGTCCATATGGGATTCTGGCACATGCAAGGCAAGGATTTTAGCCACTAGGCTATCATGCCAGGTCCATTTGTGGCCTTTTTAAAAGATGAGAAGGTAAGGCCCTTTAAAAAAGATGATGGTGCTATGGCACTGTGGGTTAAGCCATTGCATGCGCAGCTTTAAGACCTGGCTGATCCACTTCTCATCCAGCTCTCTACTAACGTGCCTGGGAAAGAAGTAGCAGACGACCCAAGTCCTTGGACCCCTGTATGCCTGTGTGAGACCCAGTGAAGCTCCTGGCTCCTTGCCTTGGTGTAGCCCATCCCTGGCCAGTGCAACCATTTGGGGAACACACCAGGGATGGAAGGTATCTCCCTTCCTCTCTGTAACTGTGCCTTTCAAATAAGTAAATCAATAATAAAAAAAAATAACTTGAGTTTAAGTCTGTGTTTTAAATGTAAGTGGTTTGCGTGAAGTTTAATTTGTAATCTTTAGTTTTAAACTTCCACAATCATTCTGTGTAAGTTAAACTTTCTCATGTTGTCGGATTTTATCCTATTCTTTTTTATTATTTGGTTCAGTAACACTGCCAAAATATTAAATAAAGTCATGCTTTGTCCTGTTAAATACTTTATTGATTTCCATTTTGTTTGAGGTGGGAGAGAGATTTGCCCAACCTGCTGGTTCACTCCCTACATGCTGCCAATAGCTCAGGCTGGACCAAAGCCAAGAACCCATAACTCAATTCAGGTATCCCATTGCATGACAGGGATCCGAATGCTTGAGCTATCACCTGTTGACTTCCAGGGTGCCAGGTGCTCCAGTATGGAATGTGGGCATTCCAGGCAAGCAATGACCTAACCACTGCCCATCTTGCTTCATCCCACCTTTATTCTGCCAATATTATATCACTTTATATTACCAGAAGCCCATTTTACCATAATATTCATCAATAACAATAATTATATCTATGTTGTAATTTCTCAAAAAAAGATATATTACTTTATGAAAACAAGCATTGTGGGCCTGGCGCGATAGCATAGTGGTTAAAGTCCTCACTTTGCACGCACCGGAATCCCATGTGGGCACTGGTTCTAATCCCGGTGGTCCTGCTTCCCATCCAGCTCCCTGCTATAGCCTGGGAAAGCAGTTGAGGACAGCCCAAAGCCTTGGGACCCTGCACCCGCATGGGAGACCCAGAAAAAGCTCTTGGCTCCTGGCATTGGATTGGCTCAGCTCCAGCCATTGTGGCCGCTAAGGGAGTGAACCATGGGACAGAAGATCTTCCTCTCTGTCTCTCCTCCTCTCTGTATATCTGCCTTTCCAATAAAAATAAAGAAATGTTAAAAAAAAAATTGTGCCATTAGTCCATCTGTTCCTGAATATACTGTTTTGATAAAAGAACCATTAAAGCATATAAAGTGATGGTGCATGGAAGGTGTTAAGTAAGGAAATTGGTTCTGGACACGAACAGCCACAGGCTGATGCAAGAAGTGGATTTAGACAAAGCAAAAATCAAGAAGTATTTCTTTTCCAAGCAGATGTGCTTAAAGACTCAAAGGGCAGGTCAGCACAGAAGCGCAGCCTTGAATTGCTGCCGAGTCAGCAGGAACATGGCCGTCCATGGTCACCATCCATAATCACTGCCCAGACGGCAGCATCCTGGCTGGCCGTGTAGCCGTACTTCTTAAAAACATTTTCTAACTATATTTGAATGTAAGAATATTAAAGATGAGGAGGTTCTAAGTTACAGCTTCTAAGTAACTGGAATACAGAAACTATTTAAAAGTATCATATAAACACTGAAATAGAATGCATTTGTGCACGATACAGGTAAGTTCTACGAATCAAAACAGTCCAGAGAATTTACTTTAATCATGTAATGTCCCGTTGTACCCTTTAAGAAGCTTTGCAGCCACCTTTTAAGTCACACATCTCTCATATCTATTAAGATCCAGTTTTAAGAGTGCAGTTAGTTAAGCTCTAAAATCCCCAAAATATCCAGTGACAAACTGAGCTCATAGAAGGGCATTCTAAAGTCTGTCTCAGCTAAACCCAAGATTAAAGGATGCTTTAATATAAAGATACTTAAGTTATGCAGAAATAGTAAAGCTAGAAAAGACCTCTCACTTTCTTCATTAAAATGGTCAAATGAACCTTTCTGAGTTTTTAAAGTAGAGTTTGAAGGGAAGAAGAATTTCTGAGAAAAGCAGTTTTCTTTGTTGCCAATCAACTTAGGTTTGCTGCTGAAAGTAATGAAGAGAATCAGGTGTGTGTACACATATCAAAAATAAGGCAAGCATAGAGTTATTTTCCGTTGATGTCTTGGGAAGGGAGAAAAATCCCCGATGTAGCATTCTGTCCAAATGATGAACCACAACTGCGTGAGTGAAACATTTACAGAAGTCAAGGCAGTGAAAGGAGCCCCTCTGTTCAGTAGTGAGAGCAGGAGATGGATAGGGCACCACTAAATGATAGTTGGAGGAACCCAACGCTACAAGTCTCAATTGGTCTCTCTTCCGTTATGTTCATTTGGAGATCAAGGCCAAATATATCCCTCTCTGCCTCCTCCATATAAACATTAGTTTTGTGTGTGGGTCTTTTTGCCTTGTCCTTCATGTGGCCTCCAGGGGTGATAAAGCGAGAGTCACCTGATCTTCAGTGAAGAGACCTGGGAAATGATTCTTAGCAGACCAGCTGTTCTGAAAGGCAACAACTTAATATATCAAGAGGTCAAATGTATAGGAACTGATTTAACAGCATTAAGCACTGTTTCATACCTACATCACAGGTCCTTGTGAGACCAATCTACTTAACTTTACGTGTTCTAATGCAGATTACTTTATAAAATAAAGTTTTCACAGCTTTTTTCTATTGCAAAGAAGAGGAGGAGATACAAAGAGAAAGTTCATTCCCCATATGGCCACAAAAGCCAGAGCTGAGCCAATCCGAAACCAGGAGTCAGGAGATTCTTCCGGATCTCCTGCAAGGGTGCAGGGTCCCAAGGCTTTGGGCCATCTTCCACTGTTCTCCCAGACAAGCAGGGAGCTGGATGGGAAGTGGAGCAGCCAGGACATGAACCAGCACCCATACAGGATTCCAGTGGATTTAGCCATTAGGCCATTGTGGCGGGCCCAAATGTTTTTGCTTCTATCCTGATATTAGTTTTAAATGCTGAAAGAATCCTTTCCTTGGTAATTTCCTATTAAGCATTGTATCACAAAGCATTCTTAACATTCAGCAGAAAGATCATTTTAAAACTTAATATTAACAAATACATCAGGTTTAGCAGTTAAACTGGGTTATTGTTAAGTACCCTATGTCAATTAAGAATTTTTAGATGTGAACATATCCTGGTTTACCCGTAATATTTTGTAACAGTACAAACATAATAATTCAAAACATAACTAGAGTAATGGAAATTTAAGTTAACACTTTCAAATATTTTGGACAAGATCACAACCTGCTCCCCGACAAAGGTCTTTTGCTTAAATTCAGCAGTCTGTGGAGCTTAATTCTAAACAACTTCAGTTTCACATCTATATGGGAAAAGGCCTGCTAGTATTTTATAAAAGGTGCAAGAGGGAAATATTTCTTTGTAAGCATACACAAAAACTAGAGTGTAATATAGAAACCATGGTGACAGTGGCTGTACAGTTAAAATATATTAAAAAATTACATTTTTAAATAAGTTTAAAGAATCTATAAATTCCTAAACACTTGGGACTTAAATAGGAAAACTGGTAATCACCACTAAATTTAATCTGAGTTTTGTATTTTCACATGTGCTTTATTCAATGTATAAAAATATCAAAAGTATACAGAAACATGTATGATACAAAGTTATGCCAAGATCATTCTCTACATGGTGGCTTACATTAAAGGATCACAAAGAAATAAATCATTTACATTGAGATTACCTAGTGGTGTGTGTAGAAAGCTTAAATTAGCTGCAAGAAATTTTATCTAGACTTGCACCTGCCTCATGCTGTGATCTGGTATTTACTGGGCAGATTAATTACAAACATCTCTTCTGTTCCTTTAAATATGATCAGGCAGATGCAAAAATTGGGGCTCATAGTAAGGGCATTTCTTCTCAGAGCCTGTGGGATATAAAAGATGATTATTACATCATCATAAATTAACTTCTAAGTTAACATGTATTTCATTCATCACTCAAGAGAAATCATGTAAACGACCTCTTGCACGTAGCTTGGTGCCTAGTTTATTTACATACTGATAACCTCTCATTTGCTAATTTTCGAAGCAAGATTATTCTAAGCTTTACTTTCACAGATGTCAATCTAACGCCCCTCACCTAAGTGAAGGCACATGAGAATCGTGAAACGCCCGCAGGAGCTGCTGAGCGCACAGTTCACATGCTCTGTCTTTAAGCCATAAGGACCTTTCAGCAGGTGTTTTCCTTTAACAGCTGCTAAAGCAGGGAAACAGAAATAAATAAAACCAGTATTTACCCAGACATATTTCCTATTCAGAGAGCATCCCTCTGAGGACTCCTAGTGGTGGGAAAGGTGCTTGTGCATTTGGCTTCAGGACTTGGTGTAAAGGAACACATGTACTGGCAATGGATGCATCTAGTTTTCACTCCTGCATCAGCAGTACAGGGTGCCCCTCACCAGCTCCCTGTTCATAAGAGCCCACGTGTGTTCGGCTGCAACTTGCCAGCTTAGTTTTGCTAACTCTTGTCTGAAAGGCCACTCTCCAATAGATTCTAGCACTCTAGGGTTCATTTAATAAATATGTTCTAGATTACAGATACAATGACAAAAACTAATAATACCAAAGAGGAAAGAAAGACTAATTTATTTTAAAAGTTTATTTAGCTAATTAAGGTAATTTCCCTGTCACAAGGGAAATATTACTAGTCCTATTTATAATCAAGAATTAGGGGAACCTAATTGCTTCTTGCTTAGGTCACATAACTAAATAGGTAATACAGCTAGTATTGAATGCTGCATTTTTTTTTTCACTATGTCAGATCCTGCAAAAAGGTTTGATCATTTGATCATGGCTGGCAGAAGTGTGTTGAGAAAGCTTCTGAGGTAAAATCCAGAACCCAGCAAAAGTAGTTTGCTCAATGTGATGAAGATCATGTCACAAGAAGAGAAATTAGCAGCTGCTAATACTGTCATGCTGTTTCTGCAGATCTCAAAAAAGGAAGTTTATCTAACTGCTATTGGTCAGAACTCAAAAACAAACCCTGATTTGATCTCCTAGCATAGCTTGCTGACCTTGTGGCTGTTTCATTTGTATATCTTACTGTTAGAATTCTGATCACACCATGCTTCAGTTTTGTTAACTAAAGTGATTTACCTACCTTATTCCTAAAGTATCCCAAATCATCTGTCAACAGGAGTCAAAAATTACACTGTTTCTCTTCTTCCTTAAATAGTCTTAGCCCTCTGCCTGTGACTCCTGGGTTGTCTCCCACGTCCGCTCTCTTCTAATACTATTTCATAAAGGCTTCACTTCTGAAAGGCTCTGGGAGTGAATCTGTCCAGCCCAGTTCTCCTCACTGAATAGTTGTAGTTGAAGAGTAATCATGGAGTGTGAGGGCAGGTGGGAGCTGCTGCGTGGCCCTGGAAGTTGGCCACAGTGGTACCAGCAGGCAGGGAATAGTCAGGCAGCTGAGTACTACACGAATTCAGTTTGACAAGACTGTGCTCATCCTGGTTGCCATCATCCTTTAGTTGACCCAGCAGTCATTCCAACCCTTACTACATAAACACTTGTCATTAAGATAACCTGCTGCCTTGATGCCTGCAATATTACTTGGTTTTTTTCTTTCTTTCCTTCTATTTTTCTTTCTTTTTTCCTTCCCCTCTTTCAAGATTTTTTGTTGGTTTTTTCTTTATTTAAAAGGCAGTTACAGAGAGAGACAGAGATATCATCCATGTGGTTGTTCACTCCCTAAATGCCAGGCCAGGCTGAAGACAGGAGCCAGGAGCTTCCTATGTGTTGCCCATGTGGGTGCACGGCCTAAGCATTACACCATCTTCTGCTTTTTCTAGACACAGGGAGCTGGATCAGCTGGGACTTGAATGAGTGCCCATATGGGCTTAACCTTCTGTGCCACATACTGGCCCTTATTATAGTACTTCTTCAGAAAGTTTGAGTGTGTGCTGCTTCATTACAGGCCATGTCTTCCTATGAAACCCTTTTCTTCTGCTCATGGGGCAGGGATTCATATCTTTAGGTTACCTGAGCCTGTACATCTGCCCATAAGTCCCCCAATACATTAACTCTATTGTCTTCAATCTGTCTACCTCCTTCTGTGTTCACACAGTGCCTTGCATTGTTGGTGGCCACTTATGTAGTGGGTTTCTCCCCTCCCCAAACAAATTCCTTCATTAATTCACATGAGTAGGATAGCTGTCACAGGTGCACAAGAGAGCAAAGCCATGAGAGGATCTTCGGGAGAAGGATCTGGGGAACCCCAGTGCAAGGCAAGTTATCAATAAGTTTTAAAAGATGGGTGACATTTTGATAGGGTGGGGAAACAAATGCTATACAGAGGAGATAAGAAAAAAGCTGTGGAAATTAAAAAGGAACTTTCTAGGGGAATGAGTCCAGGAAATGGGAAGTAATCTAAAGTTCACGAGGCACTAAGGAGACACTGGGAAGGTAAACTGGTCAGATCAGCGAGCGTCAAATATCCGTCTAAATTTTGCTTTGCTGGCATAGGTGGGGGTGATGCAGTGTCCAGTGGCAGGACAGGCTGATAGAGGACAGTGAGGTAGGTTAAGGTTACTTTGAAGGAAAATAATCGAGATGACAGGTAATGGATAAACTAGTCCATTTTCAGGAGTGATCTGATTTTGTAGCTGTTTGGCTATGGGGATAAAAAGAGAGATGTTTTTGAGCTGATCAGAGGGATGATGGAATTCCTAGAAGGCTGGAGGAAGAACAATCTGAAGGGAAGATTATGAACTAAGAATACTTGGGGGACACTGTACAGCAGCAGACACTGTGGGCTTGTAGTGCAGAAGGAAGCTGCCAGATAGATATGGAAGCCATATAAAGTAAGGTTAAAAAATAAAGTCAAGGGAAGGGGTGAGATTATGCAATATCCAAAGTAAAAAAAGGCAACACTTCAAAAGTACAACCAGGAAAAATGCCTTAAACACAATTAATAGATTTTACAGTTATCTCTCTCTCCATTGGCTTCTTATTAGAAAGGAAGTTTGGGGTGGGCACTGTGGTATATAGCAAGTTAAGCCACCAATTGGGGCACCTGTACCCTCTATCAAAGTGCCACTTTTAAAGTCCTTGGTTGATGTGCTTCTGATCCAGATTCCTGCTAATGCCCTGGGAAGGCAGAACAGGAAGGCTCAGTTCCCGAGCGCCTGCCACCCATACTGGAGATCTGGATGGAGACCCAGCCCCAGCTATTGTGGACATTTAGGGAGTGAATTAGCAATGGAAGAAGATCTTTGTTATTCTACTCTTCAAGTAAATAATAAATCATAAGAAAAGGTGTGTGGGTGAGAATTAATTCTTTCAAGTGTTTTAAAAGTACTACTGAGAGACTCAAAAGAGCCCCCCTGCGGCAGGCACTGTGATGCAGTTGGTTAAGCCACTGCCTGGGGGGCGCACATCTGTGCTGGAGTGCCTGGGATAGTCTGCTTTTGCTTCTGATCTAGCTCCCTACTAATGCAATAAGAGGAAGAAGATGATGGTTCGAGTTCTCAGTTCCTGCCACCCACCTGGAGATCCAGATGGCACTCCTGGCTCCTGGCTGCAGCCTGGTCAAGCCCTGACTATTGCAGGCATTTAGGGAGATAATCAGCAGATGGTCTCTCTCTGTCTCTGTCTCTCGTGTCTTTCAAGTAAACAAATCCTTTTTAAAAAAATCCCTAGGGCGCGGCGCAATGGCGCAGTGGTTAAAGTCCTCGCCTCGCATGCCCGGGATCCCATATGGGCGCCGGTTCTAATCCCAGCAGCCCGGCTTCCCATCCAGCTCCCTATTTATGGCCTGGGAAAACAGTAAAGGACGGCCCAAAGCCTTGGGATCCTGTACCCGCATGGGAGACCCAGAAGAGGCTCCTGGCTTCAGATTGGCTCAGCTCCAGCCGTTGCGCTCACTTGGGGAGTGAATCATCGGATGGAAGATCTTCCTCTCTGTCTCTCCTCTCTGTATATCTGCCTTTCTAATAAAAATAAAATAAATCTTTTAAAAAAATCCCTAAAATGTGATGACCCTTTTCAGAATCCTTGAACAAAAAGCTATTTTTAAATTCTCAGAAGTTTATCAACTATGCAGTAAATGTATACATTCAATTGCTAAATGTTTAATTGGATGTTTATGCATGATCAACATGAATTCCCTGTTGGATTTTCATGAGTCATGAATTTTATTACATGTTTAATCCTAAAACGAATGTGTGTATATGTAATATATATTACATCCGTAATTAGTAGAAAATAAAATCCTTGATTGGAAGTAAATCCTGCCATTCTCAGATGACTGCTGTGCAGGAGAGCACAGGCTCCGGGACCAGAGTACTCCGTTTATACCCCTGACTTTCTCCCTTGATTCTAGGACAAGGAATCTAACCTCTTTGTGCCTTCATTCCCTCCCCATAAAGATGTAACTAGGGGCTGGTGTTGCAGCATAAAGCCACGGCCTGCAGTGCCAGTTTGAGTCCTGGCCGCTCTACTTCTGATCCAGCTCCCTGCTAATTGGCCCAGGAAAGGTAGCAGAGGATGGCCCAAGGTCTTGGGCTCCTGCCACTTCCCTGGCTGCTGCAGCCATCTGGGGTGTGTGGCAGTGGGTGGAAAATCTCTGTCTCTCCCCTCTATAAAACTCTAAAATAAATAAATCCTTTTTCGGGGGATAGTAATTGTAAATCATTACAGCTGTTGAGAAGATTAAAGGGTATAAAGTGCTTAACACACTGAATGGCACACAGAATGTGTTCATTAACGATTATAACAGTAAACTGTACATTGTGTACAACAGAAGGACCATTTTAATGAATGAAAGGGACAGTTTTTTACAGTGACAAATACTTTAAGATCAGCTAATTTATTAATAAGCTAATATTAATCACTTGAGATACCAGTTCCAAAGAGATACATTTTGTGATAGAATATAATTCTTTTGCTTTTTTCCCAAGAGATAGTATGCAACATTTGGTTTGACTCTAAAGACCTTAATATTGACGTCCCTAAGGCTGCAAAAATAATGCCAGTTCTTAATGTGAACTGTTATTAAAACCATATCTTGACTCACATTCTTTCTAGCTTATATACATATGTAATAAACTACCTATAAACAAATCATCTTTACTTATATAGCTGAATCAATAGGAATTATTTTGATGGAAAGATGTCACTAATTAGTATCTATTTACTTAATCAATGTAGCACTTTTCCAAAGTTAACAGACTTGTTATGTCTTGTTCAGTCAGATGTGTCCTACAGAAACCAGGACCTACTGGCCCAGAGCGCTTTAGTTATTTACAGGGTGTTACTCAATAAAGGGCTCTCTCTCCTCGGTTGAAAATGTGGTCTCTCTGACCTGTAAATGTAGCCTCACCACAACTCAACAGCAGCCTCTAACTCATGGCCTCTAACTTGGTCAGACTTCCATAAGAATAAACATAATTTCAAACAGAGCTCCAAAACTCATGTCCATTTTTATTTTAGTCAGTAATAGATTTGATTACATAAATAAAATGTTTGACACAATAGTAAAAACAATGAAATTTAACAAGGTTAAATTGAATAAGAAAATGTGAAATAGTACCTCAGTTTAAAGCAGCCTTAAGAAATTCATAGCTGTCCAGATGCTGTAATTCTGTATGGAAGAAGAAAGACTGCTTTTCAAAAAAATTCAAGTAACTTGTTATAACATATGATGCAGACTAAACAATCAAGATGAAATTAATTTTATATGCTAAATAGCAGTTTGGAGACTATAGATTTTTGTCTCAATATCCTACTAGTTAGCCTGATTATGCTTCAGAATGTACACTTTCAAAAACATGTGTTTTCATAATGCATTAGTGTTAGGATATTCTTAAGACTCTATTGTCATCACTTGTTCATGTTGAATTCTATACTCCCAAGGGCAGCACTGTGTCTGTTTTGTCACTGTGTTCTCAAGGTCAAAACAATGTCTAGCTGATGGCAGGTATTTAATAAGCATTAAATTAGTAAGGTATGTAGGGAAGTAACCATTTGCAAATATTTGAAAATATTCAGATACATTTTTAAAACATTATTAGGGTGGTCATTTCCTTCTGTGGTTCACACATGCACTGGACTACACAAAGTGGATACTTTTTGTTGGCCAAAAAGGAAAGAGCCCTGACCCAAAGGGTTGCGGTGATGCTTTTCAGGCAAGTGCTGAATGAGCCTGCAAGATGGAGCTATTTAGTTTTACTTAGGAGAGCTTTACAGAAGATGTGACACTGAAGCTGATCTTAAAGGAGGAGTTTGTCAGAAAAGGAAAAAAAGAGCAACAGAGGAAGGAAGAAGACTGGCAAACGGCATCCTGAGATTCCAAGGGGCTGGGCCACACGGTATGAACAGAGTGAGTCCACATGACCCATTTCCTGAGGTGTGAGCTGGAGAAAGTCACCTACTATCACTTGCTACACAAATCTTTGTTTTAACTACTTAGCTATGTACTGTTATTAATACCTGCTTTATTTTTCTGTGTTTAAAATATGTAAAGCACTTACTTAGGGATTAAGTGCAAGCGTGTGTGTGTGTGTGTGTGTGTGTGTGTGTGTGTGTGTGTAGCTCTTCTGAGTACGCCAAGGGTGAAATGGAAAAAATATCATATAGTAGGTGACATAAAACCAATTTCTCCTAAGTGCGCCAGAGTAATTTTTCTCTACCTCTAGAACAGCTAGTCTTCAGTCTATTCATTACTGTCTTTTTATAGTATTTTTATTTAATAAAACCTATTAAGACTCCCATACAAATCTCTCTACTTATGCTTTTATCTTTTAACTGATCAATTTTTATACTGCTGACACCCCTTCTTCACCATTTGCTCATTTAAAAATTCATAGTATGGGAGATGTGTCTCTGGGGAAATGTCTATAAAATTTGTTACAGCTGGCAAATGTGTATGAGTCAGTGATAGCACATGACTAAATGCTTCACAGAAAATAAAATTTGTTTCTGTAGTAAGCAGAACTGTTTAAATGTTATTTATTTTTATGTTTCAAAGAAAATATATTGTGAAGTGCTGCATTGATTTAATACGCAACGATGTCTGTGTACACGCTGTAGAAGGAAAATTTATGAAACCTTTGCTCAACTCCTTTAATTGAATTTTCCAAATCTCTCACCACACACAAATAATCAATATCTTCTGCAGAGAAAACCAGTCAGAATTATTACAGTCTTTCTTTTCAATTTTGTTGTCATCAGCACATACAGAGAACCTGGATATCTGTAATGTCTGATGGCAAGTTATTTACACCTCTTAAATACGTAATTGCTATTAAGTGAGCCTAAATCCAGCTTCATTTTTTAACTGTTACTGGATAAGAGAAAAATGATCATGCTTCTAATAAGCATAAAAAATCTTAAGTCACAGAAGAAATTTTACATGCTTTGAAAAATAATAATCCAGTTTGTTTTTCCTTAAATCCTAGACAAATCTCGAGTAAGCATTTTTAGCAGCTGAAATGTATCCCCCTCAGTGATGAACAGTGTAGAACCTGAGTACTGAATTTATTAGCATGAAAGGTATTACCAGGTACGCAGCAAACATGACAACTGAGTCCTTATAAAGAGCTGGGGGGCACAGCTGTACATTAAAGTACAATTGCAGTACCAAAATTAATAGCTCCATTTTTAAATCTCCAGATAAACCCAGCATGTTAAAGCATAAGGGAGAATGTTTGTTTCCTGTGAAACTCATCATGTCTAAACTTCAAACCTCAGTGGTTTTAAAACTGAAGTGTCTGAAAAAATATACCACTTAATGTTAAGATATAATAGAAAAAACCGAGAGGGTAGCAGTTCTCTGCGAGTAAAGTTATTTAGCTGGTATGATGAAGATTTTTTTTCAAGACTGAGCGGGAGGAAGGACAACATATTTTTATGCCTAAAAAATACTTTAGTGGGTGGTGGGATGAGTAGGCGATAAAGTATTTTGTTTTAGAACAGAAGGAGCTTGAAATTTTCACTGTAGTCTAAGAATCTGATAATTTTTAAATCCTTTGACACTGATGAATTTTACAGTATAAGACACAGTAAGCTAACTAAAAACAAATCAGGACACTGTAGTTGCACTTTCTATGCACACCAAGCTAGAAATGTTGAAATATTTTCTATTATAAACAGCTTGCCTAACCAACTTTTTGAACAATGTACAATGTGCAGCTCAGATGGTTAATTTTATTTAAAATATGCATACTGTAACCTACACAATTATTCCCAAAACAGACAAAATATGTTTTGGACTGAAGCTAAGTGTCTAGATTTCATATCTTGGCAACTGCTCTACAGTTTGCTTACATTCTTTTCAAAAACATTTTGCTTACCGGAAGAAATATGCATGGACAAACAATGAAGGTATTTTTAAAATATGCCCAGGAAAAATGAAAATAATAAGTACTACATAATAGCATCTATTGACCAAGGAATATCTGTCTCAAGTTGTTTCAAGTAGAGGTTGATTATGTAAATTTCATGCTTTGCCATGTGATGATAATGTGACATTCCATCTGTATTAACACACTGAATAGTCATGTTTTAAGTCTTCAGCATAACAAATTTAAAATAATTGTGAAAATTCACACTAAATTCTACCACAAAAAGAACCTTTCATTTCATCATTTTCCTAGCAGTCAGAAAGCCTATTTTAAAGAAAGGGCAGTTAGATTTACTTCTTCAGTGGCTAAAGAAGAGCCTTCCTTTGTTCATGATACCCTCTTTGACTCACTCGTATCTTCATGAAGGGATTTCATGACTTACAAAGTCCAGTTCTTCTAAAAACTACGGAAGTCCTGGTGTACCCGTTTATATTGCTGTTTATGGCTTCCATTTCTTTTAAGTAAGTTAAGAATGTGTATAAGATGGTCTGTTTAAACTCTACAGTGTTACTTTTACAATCATATTTTTTTAAAGATTTTTTTTTTCACTTGAAAGTCAGAATTACAGAGACGAGGATCAAGACACAGAGAGAGATCTTCCAGCTATTGGTTCATTCCCTGAAGCACTGCCACAGCACAGAGCTGGGAGCCAGGAGCTTCTTCTAGGCTCCCACATGGGTGTAGGAGCCTAAGGCCTTGAGCCACCCTCTGCTGCTTTCCTAGGCCATTAGCAGGGAGCTGAATCAGAAGTGGAGTCACTGGACTGGAACTGGTTCCTATAAGGGATTCTGGTGCCAGATGTGGAGGATTCACCAGCTATATCACAAGGCCAGCACCACACCCTTCTTAGAATCTAGACTGCAATAGATATTCAAAAAAGAAACTAGCACTAAAATGAAAAAAACAGACAGACATAAGAGACCAGATTTGAAGGGGTAATGGCAGCATAATTTTTGCAACTCTTTTGGTATTTTCCATTTTCACTGGCCCAGGAAATTTTTGTAAGAATCTGAAGGGACCCTTTCCCTCCGAAAAAAAAAAAAAAAAAAAAAAAAAAAAAAAGAAAAAAAAAACCCACATCAAATCCAAAAGGCATTTTTTTGGTAGTGCAACATATAATTAGCTACTCTCATTTTCTTAATTATCTAACTGAATTAAATCTTAATACGCAGTAAAGGACTGACTTGTATTTCATAGGATTTCTACCATATTACTGACTATTACTTTCCATAGTAAAGAAAAAAAAGTACATTAGAAAAAAGGCTGAAGGCCAGGGATGGATGCGTAGCCCATTATTAACTAACTACTGGTGCTGGATAAGGCCATGTGGCTCTGGCTCCCTTCTCAATTCTTGCTAATGCAAAACTTTACAGGCAGCAATAAAGGACAAATAATTGCTTTCTTGCCACCCATTTGGGTAACCTGCAGTGGGTTCCCAATTCCCAGTGTCACAGAGGTGCAGCTCTGACAGTTATAGGCATGCTGAGGAACCAATCAGCACATGAAGTTCTCTCATTACTTCTCAAAGAAATTACAAATATATATATATATATACATATATATACACAAATATGATTTGATTTTTTTAAAAAAACAAAGTCATCTTTAAAAATACAATGCAGTGAGTTAAGATGCTGTCTGCTTTGCTGGCATCCCATATGGTCGCCAGCTTGAGCTCCTGTTCCACTTCTAGTCCCGCTCCCTGCTGATGCTTCCTGGGAGAGCAGCCGAAGACAGCCCGGTGCTTGGGCCCCTGTCACCGACATGGAAGATCGAGATGAACTCGTGGCTTCTGCTTCCAACCTGCCCAGCTGGGGCCATTGTGTTCATTTGGAGAGTGAACTAGCAATGAAAGATCTCTCTTTCTCTCGTCCTCTAATTCTTCCTTTTAAATAAATCTTTTTTTTTAAGATGAAAGTCATTAGTTTAGTAAAAAACAAAATTGTATGTATGTGTGTAGGCTTGTGTTTGTGAGTACATCATCTTTAGTAAAAACAAAACAAATCCTCAAACCAAAAATATACACACCGGGAACAGGGGAAAGGCGTGAGGAAGGCACTCGGTAAAACCACTCGGCTCAGACTCAAATTACAAAGAAAACTAGCTTTCGCCTATTCTTCAGGCAACATTAATTTTCTAAAATTAGTTGAGAAGCTAAGCAGTTTTGAATTTCTAAGGAAACATAAAGAGCTAATATAGCTCTTGCTGAGAAATGGAAAAGGAAGATGATTTTTATAATACAATACATAGTAATATACATGGACTAGGTATTTCTACTTTTAAATCATCTATTTAAATCACAACAAATAATCTTGTGAGGAAGTGTAAAACATGGCTTAGTGACATAATCTCCTTTATGAATGAACAAAACTCAGTCTTTCGAGAAAATCTGGTAATGGGCAAATCAGTTTCAATGCCTAAAATAACAGAAAACAGTTTTGCACAGAAAGAATTGAGGTAGACTGTTTAGCTTCAGGTAGATGATAAAGGCATCTCAGAAAGAAAAATGTCCTAACTGGAAGTAGTAATACTTTCAGGTATCCTTACACTGATTATTGGCAGTGACTCAATAAGTGGCAGTCAGTAGTGTAGAAGGTTGCTCAGGGCTTTTGGTGGACACAGAGGTCCTTAAGCTAAGAGCAGTGCGGGCAGAGATGCAGATTACCTGGCTGGGAAAACCAATTAGAACATGGGAACACACAGGTTAAGAAGATGCTACAGTTCCAAGTGCACGTCTCAGAGTATCAGTTTTGTAATGGCAGTTAGCCTGTCCACTGCTCATCTGCAGCCAGCTAGCTTCCAGCTTGCCCACTCTTTTCAGTGTGTGTTCAATAAATGTAACTTCTCACTCCACCTGACCAGTCTGATGAATTCTTTCACCACCCATGACGCCACCCTTAATCAGTCACTTTCCATGACAACTGGTACTAAAAACTGCTAGAATAAAATATGGTCTAATTGCACTTGCAGAGTCTACTAAATGGTACCTATGTCAATAATAATATAATAATCACCTGAAATTAACAAAGATTTTGATATTTTATAGTCAACAATTATTTGGATTATGGATACATTATCTCCTATGAGAACTTAAAAATACTGTGAAATATTCAGATGCATAAGAAATCACAGAGCAAATGTCTAATTAATGACTTGAAAGTTTCCAGAATATACATATACTCCTTTGAGTGTACCTTAAGAACTGGTCTATCAATTCACTATTGTTCTTATTTGATTTCTCAAATAGAAATTTTAAAAAATAGAAGTAAAATATGAAAGTGAAATTTATATTTCAAAAGGCATTTAAAAAGTTCAATCACCAGAAAAGCTGATTTCATCAGACATGATGAACTAAATATAAGATCTTTCAAATGAGATTCACATCTCTTCAAAAGAACACACTGGAAAAAGCAACAATGATGGCTGATTTTAACTTAACTGGTGAAATGAAATTATGAAATAAACTACAATCTACCTCCTTACCTTTGTGAGGAAGTCCTGTGTTCTTCTTTTCAAAGAGTTTTTGTTTCATTACTTTTGTCACTAAAAGGAAAAAAATTTTTTCCAGGTTAAGAATTAACATGGAATATAAAAAAATCTCTCATTACTTGGAAGAAAAAACTTTCTAAGAAAAAATAACTCAAAGCAATACATATTTGTAGGCATCAAGTATAAAATGCAATAATGTACCTTACTTTAAAACTAAGCACTACTTTAAAAAGCCAACTAGCAGTTTCTTTTCTTTTTCTTTCTTTTTTTAAAGATTCATGTTTTTTTTTTTTAATTGGAAAAGCAGATGTACAGAGAGAAGAGACAGAGAGATCTTCCATCTGCTGGTTCATTCCCCAAGTGGCCACACGAGTGCAGGGCCCAAGGCTTTGGGCCATTCTCTACCTCTTTCCTAAGTCACAAGAAGGGAGCAGGATGGAAAATGGAGCTGCCAGGACATGAACCAGCACCCCTATGGGATCCCGGGTGTGCAAGGCGAGGACTTATCTACTAGGCTATCCTGCCAGGCCTAAATAACACTTTCTAATGTATATTCTTTTTAAAAACACTAAAAAGAAACTCCCCAAATGATATATCCTGGTAAAAGTTATAAAAACACAACAGTATTTCTATCTGCCCAGTCACACTTTATATAGAAAAAAAAAAACTCTATCAGATTTAAATTTGAGAAAAATTTATAGGTTTATGTCTAAGCTTGATATCATTGAAAACTAAAATTTTTCTTACTTAGTTCTTTGGTTTTTTCCATTTCTTTTTTTAAAGAACAGCATGTAAAGGAGATACCAATGAGATTTTCGAGCTCTCTGTTGCCTTTTAAAGCCTAAAAGAAAACAAATGTAAATGAGTAAAGTACATTCTCTACAAATTAAAGATTTTTAAGATATTCAGGAAAATACAGTATATTGGTCCCTTCATTTGAAAAACTTAAACTCTATGTTAGCAGATTTAACTTTTTGTGGTAGGTCAACTATTGCAAGCTCTCAGCTGCCTGGATTAAAAGTTGTTCGTTACTAAGTGAAAACTCCAAGAAAGATTACATATTTACTTTTATATGTAAAAAAGCCAGCTATTAATAAACTGCAATGCTTATATAATGTTCATAAATAAAAGAAGTTCCCAGGAAAAGAAAATGAAACATCCTCTACGAGTTATTTGCTGTTCTGTATTCTCTGATACCTTTCCTTATTATGCTTTTTTCAGTGGGGCAGTAAAAGTCGGACAAATGGTATCTGCAGAAAGAGCAAACCTGTATACTGTTTAAATTCTGCATTATCTCCATGACTCTGTCTGATGACTTCTCAACTTTAGATAGTATCGTCATGAATCTAGGGATAAGGAAAACAAACAAACAACAACAACAACAACAACAAAAACCACTTAGCAGGTATAAGCATTTCAACCCAGCAAGTCATTTTCAGAGCTTTCACTGTTCTCCCAGGACACCTGTTTCCATTTTCTCATCCTTCTTTTACACTTCTCACAGTAGTATGAGATGTAAACGCTCTTCATTCATTCTCTCATTGATGTGTAAGTGTAATATACACTCTTAACCAGCTATCCCCCCAGAGGTTCACTATTTTTTAAAAAAAAATTATTTATTTTTTATTGGAAAGTATGAATTATAGAGAAAAGGAGACAGAAGCTTGGAGCTGGACGGGAAGTGGAGCAGCCAGGGCTTCAACTAGCACCCACATGGGACCTGGGGCATGTATGGCAAAGATTTAGCACTAGACTATTGAGCTGGGCCCTCTTTTACTAACTTTTTTTTTAAAAAGATTTATTTTATTTTCATCAGAAAGTCAGATATACAGAGAGGAAGATCTTCCACCTGCTGGTTCATCCTCCAAGCGGTCACAAAGACCAGAGCTGCGCCTATCTGAAACCAGGAGCCTAGAGCCTCTTCCGGTTCTCCCACATGGGTGCAGGGTCCCAAGGCTTTGGGTCATCACAAACTTTTCCAGGCTTTTTGGGTCATCACAAACTGTTGTGGCCTGCTTTTCCAGGCCACAAACAGGGATATGGATGGGAAGTGGGGCCACTGGGATTAGAACCAGTGTCCATATGGGATTCCAGGTATGCAAGGCAAGGTCGTTAGCCACTAGGCTACCACACCGGACAACTCAATAAATCTTAAATTCTATTCCCACATGTTAACAACATAAAAATTTAGGTATTTTACACCTTTTCAAATCCAGTTGTATTTAAAGTTTTGCTTATTTTTGCATGTTTAATTAATTTATTTGAAACCAATTTGTAGAGAGGGGGAAGAGACAAAAAGAGAGGTCTTCCATTTCTGGCCCACACGTCAATGGTTAAGGCCAAGCAAGGCAGAGGCCAAAAGCTTCAACCAAGTCTCCCACGAGGCTGACAGAGGCCCAACAACTTGGGCCGTTTTCTGCAGCCTTTCCCACCCCATTAAGTAGGGAGTTGGATTACAAGTGAAGCAACTGGGATGTGAATCGGTATCCATATGGGATGCTGGTGTCAAAGACGATGGCTTCTCCCTCTGGGCCATAGCACGAGTCCCGATAGTTACGTATTTGCTTGTTTAATTAGGGAAACTCCCATGCGTGATAACAGCAGCACTGGCCCAGGCCAGAGATGGGCAGTCAATCTAGGTCTCCCACGTGGGTGGCAGGAGCTTCATCACTTGTGCCATCACTCCCCTGAGTGCACACAGAAGGAAACAAGTGAGGCTCAGAGGCACGAGCTGGGCTCAGGTACTTGGCTGTTGGATGGCGGCACCTTAACTGCGAGGCTAAAGGCCTGCTCCTTCAATACATGTTTTATATATTTTCAAGATTCATGTATGGTTAATAACTGTTGTTTCAGATAGCAAAATTCTCAACAATTTTCTGTTAGCTCTACCCTCAGACCAGAGAAGGTCGCCCCAAGAAGCCACTGAACTTATCTGGACAATAAGATGCTGGACTCTATGCTAGGTATATGCTTGCAATGAAGCAATCTTAACTGAACTTGAACTGTGGTTATGCAGCAATGGGGAGGAATACACCGTGGGGGAAGGGTTGTGGGAGGGGTGGGGGGAATTCCAGTGCCTATAAAACTGTATCACATAATACAATGTTAATAACAATAAAAAAAATTTAAAAAAATTTTCTGAACAGAACTAAAAATTCTGTTTAAATGCTTTTCAAGAGCCACATCAGTGTTACCGATCACGTTTTTTGCTATTAAAAATAAGGTAAATGTTGGAATTTTCATATATCAGGTAAATATAGTGTTTCCTATTAGTAAAATCTTTTATCTGAGAGGTGGGGATTGCGTTTTAGCAGGTTAAGCTGTTGTTTAGAATACCAGCGTTGCAATATTCAACTTCCTTTTGGTGTGCCTGGGAGGTAAAAGAACATGACTCAAGTACTTGGATTTCTGCTATCCACCTGTGAGACCAACATGGAATTCTTGGCTCCAGGCTTCAGCCTGGTTAAGCCCCAGATGTTTGAGAACCAGTGGGGGGAGAACCAGTGGCTAAAGATCTCTCTTCACTCTGCCATTCAAACAAACTAAAAAGAAAAACTGAGTATGTACAAAAGGGACAGAGTTAACGGTATTCTACAAAACCAAAATCATGAGAAAACAGTGAAATTATGGAGGATATTTGACTTTCAAAGTTCCTTGTATTGTGTATCTTTGATTGCAAGTCATCTGTATGAGGAAGCCCCAGCTGCTTAATAACAGAAGCCAGACTTGAGAGATGCTGCAGAAGGAGTTCCTTCCCCTTCCAAAAGTCTGAAAGAGCAAGATGTGGGTGACTCCCACCCAGATTGGGAACATTGAATTTCTCTGACAAGATGCCTAAGCCTGACTACCCAGAGGGTGCAAACAAGAGGCAAGTAAGCAACGTTTTTGGGATTCCTAAAGGCTCTTCAAATCTTGCAACCTTTTCCTGAAAGGACTCAAATGACAGGGCCTTTCTACATTATGTTACCATACCTGAAACAGCTGATATTTCCTGTGAATTCTCAGAGAAGGTACAGGAAGGGCTGGTTTCTACACAGCTCCCCAACTGAGTCTATTCCCAACCCTAGATTGCACACATGCCAGTGGGTACTCTGACCCAGCTGGCTTAGCCCCCCACCTGTCTCAGCCTTTGCCTTTGATACTCTGCCATAGTATCCCTGCCTCATGCAGACCAGTTGGTGTTAGAACCAAGGTCGGAATGTCACGTGCTCCATCCTGATTTCTTTCCTTTTTTTGTGAGTTGAAGTTCACTTGGCCTTGCCTGGTCTGCCCTCTTCCAGTTGCAGCTTGGCCCACCCCACTTCCTATTTTAGGATGCACCTTCGGGTGGTGCTGCCTTCACCTGCCCAGACTGCAATCGGTTTCTTTACCCGTAAGTGATGACAAGTGCTATGGTCACTCCTAGCTTAGCCCTTCGCTACCCCAGCTCGTGAGCTAACCTGCGGGATTTGTATTTCCTCAGGGTTGGGCCCACACTTCCCCCACAGAGTTTACCCCCGGACCAAGTTCTCTCGCGTGTTGGTTAGTTTCTTGACCCTGCCAAATGTGACCAGTCCACTATTCCATCACACAGTCAAGTAATGGCACCTAGCCTTGCCAGACAGGCCCTCAGCCATAGCTTTGGTGTGGACTGGTATGTGGCAGTCAGTGATGCTCTATGCTAACAGCCCATCTCAGGATTCCTAATTCGGCTGATGAATTAGTCTGGCCCAAACAGATCTTATGGACATTCCCCTCCAAGCCATCAGGTCTCAGTCCCCACGCTTGCCCGAAAGTTTCATGACCCTGCTACTGGGAATCACCCAGAATTCATCTCTCACCTACACTAAAGTTGGCCTTATTCATGGGTGCCCCTAAGCAGCAATTTCATATCCTAAAAACCCCAGAGCTTGCTGCCGGGCGGCCAACAGGCAGAACCTGGCGCTATTTGGTGCACTGGCAGCCCAAAGCCAAGTTATCAGTCACTGCCTTTCGGCAGTGGCTTTGGCCTGAGTCCCCAGCCTTGGATCCAGCCTGGCAGGGGTATCCCTCACAGCCGCCACACTGCAGGGAGCAGCAAGCCACTCCCAACCCCAAGGCCTGGACCTATTCTGGTTTTTAAAGCTGTAATTTATTCATTAGCAGAGAGAGAGAGAGAGAAACAAGCTTCCCCATTGGGAGTACTAGTAGTTGCTTCCCATGATTTGTATTAGCCAAGAAACTAGAATCAGGAGTTGAGCTGGAATTCAAATTTAAATAATCCAATATGTAACGAAGGCATCTGAACTGCCAGGCGAAACAGTTCATTTTACTTCATTTATTTTTTATTTTAATTTTCATTTACATTTTGAATTTTATGGTACAATTCTGTAGATTCCAAACAGTCCATGTTAATTTCCTTTCCTCTCTTCTTCGTCCTACAGGAAAACAACTCCATCTTCCATCTTGATGGTAACCATGCCATGGAATAGTTTTATAACTGTAATTCAACTGTTAAATTCAAACAAGTCATAAGCTGTATTCTCCTTTTTTGTATCTTCCTGGAAGTAATTGCTTACTGGACAGATTTTGGACGGGCTGCTACTTTCTTCATTCTAAGCAAAAGGGCAATTCTCAAAAGCATACTGAATCCCTCTTAAGCTGCAAACTAGATTTTCACTGCTACTGATAATTTTTTTTTCCTGAATCTTCCATGCATGTTCAAATTCTACTTTGCTTCCCTAGGATATTATTACTGCTTGTTTGTCTCCCTAGTCCTTAATATCATCTTGGTATCCTTTCACTAATTTATTTATGAAAACCAACAATCTCTAATTTGTTTTAAGCTGTTTGCAAAAATTATTTCCCAAGATTATGGCATAAAATTTCAAAATTATTGATGTTCTTCCTTTCAAGTTGGTGAGTAAAATATCATCTGTGGTTGCCACTCATTTCTTACAAAACACTATTGCTTTATTAAAGAGATTTACCCTTGGCTAGACCAAATTGAATCAAATCCTTTATTCCATTATAATGAATCTTCAAACCACTTAGATATAGATAGAGGAACTGTATCAGAAACCCAGTGACTCCAGTCAGGTTCATGCATTCTTATTTGATAAAATTCTGTATTATAGCCAACAACTATCACAGTTCAACTTTAGCAAACTGAAATATTGATCCTCCTTGAATTAACTTTCTTTTTCATTCATTAGTACAGTAAATATTCAGCATTTTTTTTTAGCAACTAGTAATTTTAAAGCATCTGGATTGATCCTCTAAGTACAGTTTTATTTTTAAATTAGGTATCCTTTTTAAGAATGTGTGTTCTCATTTATTTGAATGATAAAGTGACTGATAGAGCAAGAATGAGATTATGTTTCATATGTTGGTTTGAATGCCTCCAACAGCCAGGGCAGGACTAGGCCAAATTCAGAAGATATAAATTTCATCTGGGTTTCCCACATGAGTGACAGAGGTCCAAATACTTGGGCCATCAGCTCTGGCCTCCCAGGCATATTAGCAGGAAGCTGGATTAGAAATGGAACAGCTGGACATGAATAGCATCAGCACTGTTTTGGGATGTCAGCATTTCAAGGGGCAACTTACTGCCACAACATTGCAAGGCACCATAAGGCCAGCTCTGCTAAGATACTTCTAAAGAGAAACTGTGATGCAGTTGGTCTGGCCCATTAGAAAGTGGCCAAGATCTGACATTTTTTTGTCAGCCTTAGCTCACTGACAAAAATGTCAGCATTTTTTTAAGATATGCTAACCATGAAGATCTCCTTTTCTCTTGAGAAAATCAAGTCAGAAAACTCGGAATGTTCAATGCATTTATCTAATTTGTTTAGAAAGGGGCTCATTGTAAAAATCAGTAATTATTTTTCCGTAGAACAACTAAAATTAGACTCTTTAAACAAAATTCCATGGGAAGCACTGGATGTATTCTTGAATTACATTTTTAGTTCCTCCTATGTTAATTTCTTGAGTTTCTGGCAAAATTGACTTTTAGAACTACTTTTATGCAATAATTCTGCAACAGTTTAGGCTTTTCTCATTTTGACCATTTTCAATTATTTTCTGTTTTTACTTTCCAAGACAGTTTCATCATTTTCACTTTCTTATGTACTAAGTTCTGCAGATGTATTCTCAAGAGAGAACTAAAAGGAGCAAAGAGAACCAGTGATCAAACCAGTGCATCTCATTAATATTTATTGATGCAGGTGGTTTGCAAGTATTGTTTCACATGTTGCTATGCCATGGAGATGTGGAAGAAGGGGAGTTGGATGAGGAAAGTGGATGAAAGAAGCCCAGAGGTTTCTTAGATTCCCTGGCATGCAAGCATGGCTGCTGCAGCAGCAGCTGGAGTGGAAGAAACAAAAACTGTAACAGCTCTGATCAGTGGGCTCTAAGATCCTGACTTCCCTCCTTTTTGGAATTTTCAACCATGGACAAATGTCTTCCTTTCCAGGCTGTGAGGCAAGGACTTTGTCTATTTACTGCCCCACAGCATCTAGTATGGTAAGCAGTCTATAAATAATTGACTCTCAAGGAATAGAATAAAAAAGACCTAATTCAAAGAGTATACATTCCTAGTTCCAAGTGAAATAAGCCCATCTTTCAGATTTATCTGTCTTCTTCTCAGCAGAGACTCCATAATTCATTATTCTTGGAAAGTTAATTAACTCAGTCCCCTCATCTTCTGCCACATATGTATCCTTCTAATGCGTACCCTTAATTTCCCATTTGTTTTTATCCGCCTTGGTGTAGGCCATAGGCGTTGGGGGAGGGGGGGACAATGTGCATCAGTATCAACAGTCAATATTTAGAAGTTCTGTCCATTTTTCTGCCGAGGCCCAGTGCTATTCAGCTCTTCTTACATGACAGTTTAGTGAACATTCTGTCTTCCACAAATTATTATGCAAAATAATGATCTACCCCAATCTCCACTTCCCTCATATTGAAAGGAGAAAGCAGCAGGGGATGGCCTAAGTACTTGGGCCCCTGCATGCAATGGAAGACCCAAAAGAGGATCCTGGCTCCTAGCTTCAGTCTGACTCAGCTTTGGTGATTGTAGTCATTTAGGGAGTGATTCACTGGACAGAACACATCTCTTTCTTAAATAAATCAGTTCTTTAAAAAATGGTTGCTTGCATGTAAGCCTTCCACGATTTTTTAAGATCCCTCATTCTGTCAACTTCACTGTGTTCTTACCTCTAATCCAGTCAGGTACTGGTTAAGCATTACGTTCCCAAAGTATCGCTTCTCCACTACCATAATTTGAAATTTTCCCCAATTTCCCCCTACACTGGTCTTTCATGTAGAGGGTGGGCAAACTGGGTTTAATGCATATTGAAATCAAGCCACCACGTTTAACAGCAAAACACTTGATAGCTAAGGCATTTTGATTTTTAAGAAAGAATATTTTATTGTAATTTAAACTATTAGTTTTCTTTTCAAAGATTTATTTTTATTTGAAAGGCATATTTTACAGAGAGAGAAGTAGAGACACAAAGAGAGAGCTTCTATCCACTGGTTCACTCCCCAAAGGGCCAATATGACTGCAGGTAGGCCAGACTTAAATCAAGAGCTTCTTCCAGGTCTCACCTGTGAGTGCAGGACCCCAAGGACTTGGCCCATCCTCTACTGCTTTCCCAGGCCATAAGCAGAGAGCTGGATCAGAAGTGGAGCAGCTGGGACACGAACGAGTGACCATATGGGATGCTGGTGTTGGCAGGTAGCAAATTAGCAAGCTATACCACTGTGCTTATTAACTTTTACAAATAAATGGCTATTCTTAAATTATTACTTTAACCAATATATCCCTTATCCTGCAAAATACATGTAAATTATTTCAAAAACCAACTTACTCATCATTATCTTGTGGTGTAGATTCCTTTCTTTCCATCAAATTGAGGTGACTGAACCTTCTTCTCTTTCCTAAATGTGTATAAGGAACACAAAACCAAAAGAGAAAATGTCAATTTTTAAATGCAATTTAGACCAGGAATTTTCAAATAGAAAATAAAAAGGTAAACAAATATAAGCCAGGAAAAGGAAAATGTGTGCCATTTTATCATTTCCTGTTCTAATTTTTCATTCATAATGATATTACATAGAAAACCTTTTGAACAAAATTTTCATGAGCCTTGGTATATCAAAGAGAAAATGAGAGGAATATAATCTGAATATAATTAGGTTCAAATATATTAGCAAACTTTACTAAATAACGCATGCTTTAGTCAAACATTTATATTTTCTAATATTTATAATAGGACTATATTGTACTCCAGTTTGTATTATTTAACTTCACCCCCAAAGTTAGCAAAAAACTCTTGTGACATAATTAAGACCAATTTGGGGGCTTGCTGCAATGGTTCTGTGGCTAAAATTCTTGCCTTGGAAGCACTGGGATCCCATATAGATGCTAGTTTGTGTCTTGGCTACTCCATTTCCCATCCAGCTCCCTGCTTGTGGCCTGGGAAAACAGTGGGGGACGGCCCAAAGCCTTGGGACCCTGCAACCACGTAGGAGACCCAGAAGCTCCTGGCTCCTGACTTCAGATCAGCTCAGCTCCACCCATTGCAGTCACCTGGGGAATGAACCAGTGGATGGAAGATTTTTCTGTCTCTCCTCTCTATACATCTGCCTTCCCAATAAAAATAAATATCTTTTTTTTAAGACCAATTTGGTCTATTTTTAAAATTAATTTTCAAAATTAATGAGATATTTTAAAAAATAAAATTCTCATATACTTAGAGTGTGCATCATGATTTACTGATTTATGCATAAATTACAGAATGTCTAGAAGAAGCTAAACTTTTCCCAATCCAGGATTTTGGTACAGCAGGTAAAGCCACAGCCTGCACTGTTGGATTCCTATTCTGGCACTGGTTTGCGTCTCTGTTCTCTACTTTGGATCCAGCTCCTTGCCAATGGCTTTAGAAGAGCAATGGAAGATGCTCCAAGTGCTTGGGTTCCTGCCTTCCATGTGTAGACTTGGATGATGCGCGTGGCTCCTGGCTTTGGCTTGCCCAGCACTGGCCATTTGCAGCTATCCGGGGAGAGACTTAGAAGGTGGAAGATCTCTCCATGTTTCTCCTTCTCTCTGTAACTTTGATTTTCAAATACTTATTATTTTGTGGTAAAAATATTTAAAATCTATTTCTTTGAAATTTTCAAGTATATGACATATTGTTATTAATTACAGTCACTCTATTACACAGATTTTCCGAAGTTATTACTCTAGCAATTTTCCCCCTGTGACCACATCTTCCTGGTCCCCTCCTCACAGCCAGTCTCTGGTAACCATCAGGGTACTTTCTACTCTGTGAGTTTGACTCCTTGGATTCTACATGTATGTGAGATCATCAGCATTTGTTTTCCTCTTCCTGGTTAACTTTACTAGCATCTTTCATGTTCATCGTGTTGTCACAAATGGCAGGAGTCCCCTCATTCTCAGGGCTAAATAACGTTCTGTGATATGTACCATTAATAGGAACTACTTTTAAAAAGTTTAAGTGATATTTTCATACTATATTTTTACATAGTCCCATGTGTTTAACCTCTGTCACTAGGAGTATTATTAGTCACTGCTTTTAAAGATTTATTTATTTTTATCAAAAAGGTAGATTTGCAGAGAGAAGAGATAGAAAAATCTTCCATTCTCTGGTTTACTTCCCAAGTGGCCACAACAGTTGGAGCTGACCCATAAGCTAGGAGCCAGGAGCTTCTTCCAGGTCTCTCATGTGGGTGCAGGATCCTAAGGCTCGTAGGCCATCCTCCATTGCTTTTCCAGGCCACTGCATGGGAAGTGGGAACAGCAGAGACATGAAATGGAGCCCACATGGGATGCCAGTGCTTGCAGGAGGAGGATTAGCCAATGGAGCCACTGTGCTGGACCCTTTTCATTGCTTTTATTATTTAACTAAAAGTTGCTTGATATAATGTGTCACAAAAAAGCCTAGCTTGCATTCTTTTCAGCAGCATAACATGAGAAACTTATTTAATTTTTAATCTTCTATTAGAGAAATTCTAAAAAGGAAAAACAAACTTAAGCAAAAAAAAAAAAAATCACTATGCTATAATCCCAGGTCATTAACTAGCCTTAAATATATTGAGGCTAGTCATAACACTATATTATAAAGATGAACCAGAATTTATCTTTACTATCTCCTTGTCACTTTTGATGAAGACTCTTTGCAATCTTTGCATGACTGGTTATTTCTTAAAGAGACTGACATGTGCCAATGGAATGAATGGATTGGAGGATATAACTTTCAGAGACCATTGTTCAGTATTTGTTCAGTATTGCCAATTTGTTCCTTCTCTCAAGCAGCTTATGAATATAGTGTCCATTTTAATATGTGAAAAGTGATACCACTGTTTTAGCGTGAAATTCTTTGATATTAATGAAATGAATGTGTTTGTATCATGGATTTTTACTTTCTTAGACTTCTTAAACTTTTCCTTACTAGTTTGAAAGAAATTTTTATACGTTAAAAACGTTACTTGTTTCTCAAGAAAAGGGAGTTAAATTTCATATTTTATTTAACCCAATATACCTAAAACATGTAATTTTAACATGTAATCAATATAAATTTCCATACTTCTGCTTTTGTTTGAAATCTGCTACATATTCACATCATTTCGCAGTTGAGGCTGGTTATACTCCAAATGCTCAGGATCCACATGTACTGGACAGTCACACAGTTCCAGATAATGCAGAAGGATACATCATTTCCAGATGAAATCAAATACACAGGTAATTCAAGGCAATTTAATTTCCTAAATGTAATTTGACATATTAAGAAATGTATTATTGTCTAACATACACTTTCCAATTTGAGTCTTGGTTCGTTTTTATTCCATTACTATTTTTTGCTCCTTTTTCTTGCAGAAAGGCTCACTTTCCCCCCTTTTTTTCTTAATCTTATTTTTGATGCTCACATAGTTGAGAAGGCTGCATGCCCAGGTAAAGTGTATTTTTCTGGGGATGGTATGGTGTGGCAGGTTAAAGCATGGCTGTTGACACAAGCATTCCATATGAGCACAGGTTTGAGTCCTTGCTGTTCCACTTTGTATCCAGCTCTCTGCCAACTTGCCTGGGCAAGCAGGGGACTATGGCCCATGTACTTGGGTCCCTGCAACCCACATGGGAGACCTTGATGGATTTCCGGGATCCAGCGTCAGGCCTTGCCCAGCCCTGAGGGTTAAGGGTGTCTGGGAGAGAACCAGAGGATGGAAGATGTCTCCACCTCCTCCTCTTCATAACTTTCAAAGCAATCTGTTTTATTTTTTTAAAAAAAGATTTATTTATTTTTATTGGAAAGTCAGATATACAGAGAGGAGGAGGAGACAGAGAGGAAGATCTTCCATCCAATGATTCACTCCCCAAGTGAGCACAGCAGCCGGTGCTATGCCAATCCGAAGCCAGGATCCAGGAACTTCTTCTGGGTCTCCCACATGGGTGCAGGGTCCCAAGGCTTTGGGCCATCCTCGACTGCTTTCCCAGGCCACAAGCAGTGAGCTGGATGGGAAGTGGAGCTGCTGGGATAAGAACCAGTACCCATATGGGACCCCGGACATTCAAGGAGAGGACTTTAGCCGCTAGGCCACTGTACTGGGCCCTAAAGCAATCTGTTTAAAAAACTTTTATTTTGTGGTGCTTACAATTTGAGTAAACTGTAAAAAAAAAAAAGTGATTTCCTCAGTGTTACTTTAATTTTTAAATTTTTTTAAAATTTAATTTTTTATTTAAAAATTTTTTAAATTTTTAAAATGTCCTCATTGTTAACTTAATAAAGGAAATCTTTATTTCCTTTCTCAGAAAAAAAAATCTTGCTGTGACTAAAGCATTACCTCAAAAATATTCTTTTAATTGCATAAAGAAAATGCTATGACTTGGAAATCTTACTAAAGCACTAGTTACTTTTTAGTCTTCGATATTTAACTAGCCCACATCCTTAAATTGTGAACAAAGTAAATTAATACGTTAAAAGTTTATTTAGGAAATGCAGGGAAAACAACTTTCAGAAATCTATTTCAATCCGGTAAGTTACAAAATGCTGAAAATATATCTGCTCTGTAGAAGAATAAAAAGAAAACTCAAGTTAAATCTTTATTTCAGTAAGTGTTTAATCCAAAAGTTAATGGTAATTTCCTGAATGTTTATTATACTATCAGCATTCAGTAATGCTCCAAAATTAAATAATTTAATGACTCTGCTCTTCAACTTGTGACTCAGTGTCACATTTGAGGACCTGCAATCAGTCAGGTAAGAGATAACCACGGATGCTTTGCATTTCCACCAGAGGTCTGATGCCTAGATATACATTTTTATTCTTGTAAATGAATTAGTCAAATATTCCACTGTGAAATATATGGACCAATATTAATCTTAATCTTCTCATGGAAGAACTTAAGTTTTTAAATACTTTTTAACTGACACATGGGGACTTTAATATCTTTCAGAATAATAATTTGATCAACTACGAATGATTGTTGAATAGTATCATTTATCATTTAGAGTTTTTCAATTGCTTACTAATAAGTTTTATCTCATTCCATTCTGTTATTAAAAACATACACTATCAGGCTGTGAAGTCTATATGGGGCAAATGCATAAAACTAAGCAAGAAAATAGAAGTTAAAAAAAAACAATTGCGGGGGGTCTGGCGCAATAGCCTAGTGGCTAAAGTCCTCACTTTGCAACTGCTGGGATCCCACATGGGCACTGGTTTGTATCCCAGCTGCTCTATTTCTCTTCTAGCTCCCTGGTTGTGGCCTGGGAAAACAGTGAAGGATGGCCCAAAGCCTCAGGACCCGAATTTTGACTATGCTCAGAGTCATAGTTGAACCTTCTGATAAGGCTCCGGAGAGTCCTTTTCCTAACTAATGAAGATAGCTTTCAACGGATCATAAGGTTTAGAAGCACAATC